AATATATTAATAACCAATCTTCAGCGACATCTGTTGGCTGAATCGCGTCACTACATACAAACCATATACATATATACACATACTAGCTTTCCACCCGCAGCTTCGTCCGCGTGGCGTTCGGTTATATCGCCTTTCCAAGAGAACCTTTCAAAAGTCTGGGATAAAAACTATCCTATGTTCTTTCTCGAGGTCAACTCTATCTCTCTACCAAATTTCATTAAAATCAGTTCAGTGGTTTAGGCGTGAAAGCGTAACAGACAGACAGACTTACTTTCGTATTTATAATATTAGTAGGGATTCTGATATCTGACCTATATTTTTATAAGTAATTTTATAACTATTTAGTTAATTTTGCCTGAAATCTCTCAATTATCTATTAATCTAAACAAAATACATCATAATTATGGTATTGCAAGTAAAATTTTCGTCGTAAATATAAAAACAGTTCTTACTTTGCCTTAATATACACTCGGCTGGAAGACGCGCCAGCCAATGAACCAAATGCTTTGATGGAACTACTAAATTAAACATCACCAAGGCATCAACGCATGAACGAAATATTGTGAAATTTTGTTCGCACTTCGTTTGAGGAAATATTTGTTATTTTGCTTCAAACTACTTTATTTCTTCTTCTACCTGGCAATTTCCAGGGTCTGCCTTACATGTTATGAATAGTTTTTTTGGCTATTTGTTTTTACGACCGGCCGCCTGCCTGACATCAACCGTCTTTTGGGAATCAACATTAATCAGTGATGTCTAAATACTCTTAGAAAGTTCATATGATTCCGAAAAATCACATTGGTACTTGCCCGGGTCAGGATCGAACCCGCGCCCTCGGCGACGAGAGGCCGAGAGGCGGGCCCTTTAACCACTGAGCCAGCACTGACTAAACTACTTTAAAACTACTTTATTTATCATATTATGTACTTAATTTATATAACTTTAAACGCTTAATAAGTTCGTATTAAAAATTTACGGTTATTAGCAAAAACTTTATTCGTTTCAAATTTAGTTAGATAGAGGACACAAAAACCATCGCACGGATTTAGATAAAACTTTACAATAATGTAGATTATGTATCGGAAAAGATGTAGTATATTAGGAGCTTGGACGGTGGAGGTGAGCGTTTGACGCGTTAGATAGGGGTCCTTTAAACCTACACCTGGGTCGTAAGTCCCAGTCACTGTTGAAGCTCCTCTCACTACAACGATGGACCTGACACACGCACCGTGAATACATGGAATGATGAGAGGTTTCGTCTCATCCTTTTCAAATTAAGTTTTTTTCTTCTATCAAGGACACTAATATATTTTTCCACTTACTGATTAATTAATAAATAAATCCATAAATACGTAAAATATTGTTATTAATATTACATAATATAAACAGTGGCAGGCCAAAGATATTTCCATAGTCAACATAACAATGTATTTAATCAATTAAGGGAATCAGGTCAGGAGAATTATTATGGTCACGCTATGGGCGAGCCGCTATAAACGTTATGGGCTTATTTTTATTTATACCCTTAAGTGATTTATGATATACTAGCTTTTTTGATGCGACTATGTCTGTCATTTTATATATTCTACCTGGCAATTTCCCAGATTTAGCCAGGGTCTGCCTTACATGTTGTGAATAGTTTTGGCTATCTGTTTTTACATACGACCGGCCGCCTGCCTGACATCAACCCTCTTTGGGAATGCATTAATCAGTGATGTCTAAATACTCTTATAAAGTACATATGATTTGGTAAAATAACATTGGTACTTGCCAGGATCGAACCCGCACCCTCATGCATGAGAGGCGGGCCGGGCGAGATATAAAGACTAACTTGGGATAAGGCTAGGCAGAGAGAGAGAGAGAGAGAGATTATTTTCTATCTATTTATGTGGTTTTCATAAAAAAAAAGCCCAAATACATTACCTCCTTTTCGTAATTCTTATATTTTTCAAACCTTGTTTTAATTTCATTAAAAAAATAATGATTTTACTCTTGAAAAACCCTGTTTATCTAAATATATTTTTGTTTTCTAAGAAATGATAAATCTTCTTTACCTTGTATTTCATTAAATCTAAATAATTAATGTAAGAAGCAATAATTACAATTTTTATCCTGCAGTGTAATCATTCAAATTTATTTAGTTTTTTGCAATTTAAATGATACTTATATACCACTAGCTTTCCGCCCGCAGCTTCGCCCGCGTGGAGTTCGGTTATATCGCGTTCCCAAGAGAACCTTTCAGAAGTTTGGGATAAAAACTCCTATATTCTTTTCAAGGTCAACTCTATCTGTACCAAATTTCATTAAAATCAGTTCAGTGGTTTAGGCGTGAAAGCGTAACAGACAGACAGACAGAGTTACTTTCGCATTTATAATATTAGTAGGGATTTAATACCTTTATTTTCATATTAAACAATTATTTTTCCGATCTTTCTAGATCTTGTTACCATACTGACTTATCCCATTCCAAATGAAGACTTCTCCCGATTCAAATGAATTCTATATTTCATTTAATTTAATGTAAATACATTTGATAATCCTAATCTACATTCAAATCATTCTATTGTTGTCTGTATGTCACTCACCAACACGATACTGGTTATCGCTAGTCAAGGACGCGTGAATTTGTTATTTTTGATACATGATAATTTTTCATTGTACATGTATATGTATAACTATTTTTCTTTTATGTAACAATACAGTGTATTTTCAAATTAATGTATATGTAGAAGTAATATTTTTATAAGAATTTCTATGTTTTCCGCGTATACTCATTTAAATGAAACTATATTTTTTGATACTACATGATTTTATTATATATCTACAAGATCTAGACTAGAAACTTCCATCTCGTCTGTCCGTGATCACGGTTGATGTAAAGAACCGAAATAGTCATTATGTAGACGACCAAACTCCTCATCATTCCATGTATTCACGGTGCGTGTGTCGGGTCCATCGTTGTAGAGAGAGGAGCTTCAACAGTGACTGGGACTTGTGACTCAGGTGTAGGTTTAAGGGACCCCTATCTAACGTGTTAAACGCTCACCTCTACCGTCCAAGCTCCTCTCTCTATACCTTATACTTGAGACTTAAATTATAGAGATGTTATTCGAGATTTAGCTTGTTATATTTAAGAAAAAGATAAATTGACCAGAGTATATCCTTGTCCAATACTTTTAAATATATACACGTAATTTTTTTTATTTCTATCAATTTTATTTCGATCCTCTGTTTAAGGTGTGTCAATTAATATAATTTACAAAACCATATATATATTAATATTGTAATATAAGTTATACGTTAATGATCAAAATAAACAAACGCCTAAATTGGATCATACGTTTAACATGAGTTTAAGATTCACTAACTTTGTATTAATTATCGAAATCTTTATAGTAGTGGTTAGTTCCGCCTCTCATGCATGAGGGCGCGGGTTCGAAACCTGGCATATACCAATGTGATTTTCCGAGTCATATGTACTTTCAAGAGTATTTAGACACCACTGAAGGAAAACATTGTGTGGAAACCTGGTCTTATAATATCAAATTATAAGTTTGAAATCACCAACTCTTCTTGAGCGAGCGTGATAATTAATGCTTAAACCTTCTCCATGTGAGAAGAGGCTCAGCAGTGGGCTCTGATAGGCTGATGATGATGATCGAATTCTTTTGAAAACGCTCATCGTGTACAATATTTTCATTAAAATTAATATTTTAAATATTTCATGATAATTTTATATAGTTCTCCTTTAAAGAAATAAAATAAGATTTACTATATTTTAGTTAAAATAAAATCCACTGACGTTTATCTTACATTCCCTGATCAGTACGAGACATCTAAAACGATAGCCATCTACGCGTCTATAGATAAGATTTTTATAATAATTATGACTTATTGGTAAAATCAGATCATCTGATAAAATTGCATTTATAAATTGTCTCTATGGTATCGGCTAGTTCCGGGGGTGAATTGGTGAATTGCTCTAGCAGGTCCCAAATCGCCCCCAAATATAGGAAGGGAAGCCGGGGTGTTTTAGTGAGTATTCCCAGGGTCAACACCATCAGTTCTTTCTCAAGGTCAACTCTATATCTGTACCAAATTTCATTAAAATCAGTTCAGTGGTTTAGACGTGAAAGCGTAACAGACAGACAGAGTTACTTGCGCATTTATAATATTAGTAGGGATTTTATCTAAATTAATATACTTTTTAAGCATAAAAACATGGTTTAAGAATAGTTTGATTTGAAAATTTTATTCTGTTGCCTTAAATAGAGCTTAAATAATCGATACAAAATTCGACAACGTTTTTTCGAAATCTCGAACAGTTTTTGAGAAAATTTTCTGAATATATGTTAGGAAGTTATGATTCATACAAATAAATCAACACACGCCAGATAAGTGGTCAAACAAATAATGTCAATTGTGTACTCATTATGTAGGTTAAGTATTAGTCATGTTGCTAACATTATGTATAACGAGTTAAATAAACTAATTTCTCGTATAAATGAAACTAATATTTTTCGGATGTACTACGCGATTTTTATCAAAAACTACATACTCCCGACGTTTCGGTTACTTTACAGCAACCGTGATCATTCAGACCATATCTCAGTGACTCTATATACGAAAAATATTAGTTTCATTTAAATGAATACTCACGAAAGTCTTAGATCTCATTAATTTCTCGTATTAAGGTACCCAGAATATAGGCTTATTTTGTTGATAAGACTCTCAAAACTGTTTATCTTAAGAGACTTACTAGTATGCAGATATTCTTTGTGAAGTTTTCCCTATAAGCGTTCTAATACAACAAAAATAAATTATTTATTATATTTCTTTAAAAAACCAGTATATTTTATCCGGTTTTATCACTGTATATATGTATATATTATGACATAAAGCTAAAAAAAATATATGCGTTTATGGTTCGAAATATATGTCATTAAAATCTTTGCATTTTATTACGTAATGGTTTCAAAATTATATATTTTTTGCAACAGGACGGCGGAAAATGAAATCGAAGACGTACCTCGTGATGAGGTAGAGAAACTGGACGGGAGCTACCTCCAGGACTACTACAGGGACCTCCGGGTCAACAAAAATAAGGATGAAGTAGACGAACTAGTTGAAACATTTGAAGACAGCAAGCATTTACGTATTAAACGTCAAGCTACAGAAGAATCTGCTGACAAAGATGTTATTGGAGAAGTTAATGCTACGGAAGCAGCAGTTTTAGATGCTGCTGCACCAACTGCTGCCCCATATGTCGGTCCAATACGACTCATGGGTCTAAGAATAGAGGAATCAGCGAAAGAACCAAAGATAGTTGATGGAATGATTCCCAGCGTTCTTCGTGAGACCCTGTTCATGATGAGGCTCTTCGGGGAAGGCTTCACCAGCGATACTGTGATAGCATTTACCCATGTCCCAGAAGAATATGGAAAACCCTGCCATTTCCTACTTAGCGGAGAATATAAGGTATTTATCCGATTACTTATTTTACCTCAAAAGTATGTCTAATTTGCGTTTTATCTTCTTTTTACCTTTTGTCCGTGTAAAGAATAAAGGAGAAATTAATCTGCAATCTGCATATTTTACCATAAATTACCTTACTTATTGTACCTTAAAGAAATTGTCTTAGCGGAATCTCTTTTGTATAAGTCTGTTATTTGTGTTTTTGCGCTTTCTTTTTAACTTTTGTCCCCTTTTTTCCTCGTATATAATAAAGAATAAATTAGTCTCCAATCTGCATATATTAATTTTAGTTATATATTCTACGTCTTATTTCTATAAGTATGCCAAGCAGTAAGTCTGATGTCCTAGTTCCAGGGAGCATTTAGGTCATTTATTTTAGTACCGGACACATTTCTAGCTATTTACGTTGAACTTATATTTTATATTAATTTGATTTTTGTTTTAATTATAAAGTATCTTGTCTGCTTTTATATATTCTACAATAATGAGACTTTCGCGAGTATTCGTTTAAATGAAACTAATATTTTTGTGATATACTACGCGTGTTTTATTTTTGTAAATACATACTCACGACGTTTCTTTAACAAAAAAAAATAATGTAATTGTAGTATATGCGAAAAATATTAGTTTCATTTATTTTAAATATGATATATATGTATTTTTTTTGGCAGATAAAAGAAGCAAGCTCTGATTCAGGACTTTTCGAATTATTGGCCCCACCTCCATTAGAGGACTACAAATTCTATATATGCACAAAGAATTCTAGCAACGCTGACTTCGTACATCAGGGCCAAGAGAAATGGAAGATTTTGGGGACACATAACAAACTTTTACCTCTATGGGCGTCTTTGATTCTAATTGTCATTCTACTGATGTTGGCATCACTGTTCTCTGGTCTAAACCTCGGTTTGATGGCCCTTGATAGAACAGAATTGAAGATTATTGCAAATACAGGAACTGACAAAGAGAGGAAATACGCTAGGGCTATCATGCCAGTTCGAGCTCATGGCAATTATCTTCTATGTACCATTCTGTTAAGTAATGTAGCAGTTAATAGTACTTTCACTGTTATTTTGGATGACCTAACGTCTGGTCTTGTGGCTGTAATCGGTTCTACGTTGGCTATAGTCTTTATAGCTGAGATCACTCCTCAGGCTATCTGCGCTAGACACGGACTCTTGATAGGTGCGAAGAGCATTTGGATCATGAAGGTAAGTTGGAAAACTCTAGAAGATATGTATTAATTTCGATCAGAATTATTTGGACAAAAACATTATTGGGCTCATTTAAATTCATGTATAACAAAAATATATATCAAAGTCTCTTTACGTCTGTCAAATTTCTAATACACAACTGAATTCCGAGTTCTTCCATTATTGAGATACGTAAAAGTATTTCTAGCCATTTCAATACTTAATTTACCTAATAAACAAAGATTAATTCAAATAGATTTTTGCATATTCGTTAGGCATTATGTAATTAAGAATAAAATACCAAAAAATCATTGATTAATGATTATTTTGTTCCTACAAATCAGATCGTTATGGGTATATGTGCTCCGCTCGCGTGGCCCACGAGCAAGCTTCTTGATTACTTCCTCGGAGAAGAGATCGGTACTCATTATAATAGAGAAAGACTGAAGGAGCTCGTCAAAGTGAGTATTCGTTCCTAGGAGACACTAAAATTTTAATATTTTTTACCAATAAGTTAATACGTTTTTAATATAATGTAAGAAATGATTTATAAACTTCCTAATATTTGCATGCTGTATCTGCCTTAAAAGATAATTAATGCATTTAGTATTAAGCTACACTATATTTCATTTACCCAATATTATATTAATGTAATTATCACTGGTGGATCTTAAATAAATAAATAAATTTCGATCGCTAATTGGCTAAGCCTATACTATTGTTTACATACGTATATGGCACTGTTAAATCGAGTTACGGCCAAGAAAACCTGATATTAAATAAAAACCCACATAAATTTTAATTAAAATGCCAACATAATCATCAATTCCTGATAAGACTCATCAAAATTAGTTCTGCCATAATCACAATCACTATTTTCTTAACCAGATCACCAATCACGTGAATGACCTTGATAAAGAAGAAGTAAATATAATATCTGGAGCTTTGGACCTTCGCAAGAAGACGGTCAAGGACGTTATGACCAAACTAAAAGACTGCTACATGCTGCCTATCAACAGCGTGCTCGACTTTGAAACTATGACAGAGATCGTCAAGTCTGGTGAGACTTACACACACACACACACACACTACACTCACACATGCACACATTTATTATTATATAACTAGCTTTCCACCCGCAGCTTCGCCCGCGTGGAGTTCGCTTATATCGCGTTTCCAAGAGAACCTTTCAAAAGTCTGGTATAAAAACTATTCTATGTTCTTTCTCAAGGTCAACTCTATATCTGTACGAAATTTCATTAAAATCTGAACTGATTTTAGACGTGAAAGCGTAATAGACAGAGTTACTTTCGCATTTATAATATTAGTAGGGATACATACACACTTACTGGTCATATAAATGGAAATTTTGTCAAAAATTAAGTACCTATTTTTTTTACATAATTCGAATGAGAATCATGTACCGAGTATACTCCTTAAATATTGATAGTAATTCACCAGTCACCCTGTATATACCTGTCATTTTCTATGGCAAATTCCGTATTTCACACCTTTTCATGGGTTATAAAGTTTGTATACGTTTCAAATACCAACTCATTGATGTTTTACTATTGTTTGTCTGTCAGTTTGTTTTGATTACATTTTATTGCTTTTATTTCTGGATACGCCCTTGATTGCTTGAAAAGCTCCGAGCACTGATATTCAACTGATACTGATAAATTTCATCTGAATCAATATTTATTTATCTATTGATAACTAAACACTATTTAGAATTCTTGGTATACATAGTTGGGGTCATTTAATACACTATTTAAGTGTAAATTTGGTTATTTTTTCTGTAAAGTATATTGCTTTAGAATTATTTAGTTTGTGAATAGCGTCTAGAGTCCCCAACTTATCTATTTTCTTTGATAGAGTATGATATTTTTCTTTGCAATTAACTCTTCTGTCTCAACTCAACAAAGATATTTTTTTCTACTTTTTCGTTAATGAAACTCACATTCAATACTTCAATTCAACTCTTTCTAGAGTCTAAAACTTTCTAGACTTTAGAACGCACAGAACATCTATAATCTAGTCATGTTTTTTTTTGCGGTTTTTTATACTTCTAAACTCACCAAATTCTCCCACATATCCACAACTAAATGACCCAAAAAACTAAGCAAAATTTCTGTATTTTCGTTAATTTTGCTCTCCAACGTATCCAAAACTACAAAATAACCCAAAAACTACGCAAAAATTCTGGATTTCAATACATTTTGTTCATATTTTGGACCATAACTTTTATTCCAGGCTATTCCCGTATCCCAGTGTACGAGGGTACTCGCACCAACATCGTGACGGTGCTGTTCATCAAGGACCTGGCGTTCGTGGACCCTGACGACAACACGCCTCTCAGAACACTCTGCCAGTACTATCAGAACCCCTGCAACTTCGTCTTCGAAGACGCTACTTTAGACGTCATGTTGAAACAGTTCAAAGAAGGTAATGTGATTTTTTGTCCAAAATTTCCGGCCCTATTCCATGAATACCATTAAGAACCTATTTTTGTTAATTATAAGTCAAATAAATATAGTATTTTATGTGTTTTGTCAAACAAAATAAGCAAAAAGTTGTTTATATGTAATAATTTTGACCACAACTCCAAATTTTTTTTTAGCAAACATTAGATAACTATTTTGATATTTCCGATTTTGTTATTCAAACAAATTTATGTTTACTTCATTGAGATTGCAAAAAAAGACGCAGGAAAAGACCAAGTATTAATGATAAGACCTCATTTTACGTTAAAAAGAGGTGAAACATTAGGTAATCATGACCAATTTTTTTGGACCTCTCATAAGTAACACATACAATACAAATTACAGATCATGTTAGTTGTAGGAAGATATTGGTTATTTACGGCCACAAGGCGCGTCTGTTTAATATAAAAAAGTGATGTGTTTAAATAATAATTCATTATTAAAATGTTACATACTGAAGCTGTTGAATGATTTGTGGTAGAAAAAACTCAGGAATATTTTGATACTATCAAGGCTGTAACTCAGATTATTTCATAAACAAAAATATCTAAAAAAGAAATTAATAATGAAACTAAATATATGTCTTTTTTTATTAATCATTTAGTTTACTTTTACGTAATGTCTAATGACAGACCATTCAGACAAATTCTAAAACATTCATTTCATTTTGAACATTCTGCGTTATCACTAACTCGTTTGACAAACGTCAGATATGTCAATCGATATAGCTGTCAGATGTCAAACTTGTCAAATCTGACAGGTGTTTTTTTTTTAAATAGGCCACAAAGGTCACATGGCGTTCGTCCAACGCATCGAGGAGGGTGACGGCGACCCGGTGTACGAGACCGTCGGGCTGGTGACGCTGGAGGACGTGATCGAGGAGATGATACAGGCTGAGATAGTTGATGAGAGCGATGTTATAAGTTAGTAATACTTTATTTATATACTAGCGTTGACCGCGACTTTGTCTGCGTTAGTTTCAAAATTAGAAATGTATAGCTGACCGGGCGAACTGTATTCCTACTTAAAGGCAGAGTGTAGATAAGATTTTGGATTTGATCGACTTTTTTTCTTTTTCAATCGAATTAAAAGTATCCTATGTTAAAAAAATCGGTTTAAAACTATCCTAAGTAGTCAAGTCATGTAATTTACTATTGATATGTACTAATATGATAAATTCAAACGCAAATTATGGAAATTCTGGGATAATTCAACATTATTTGTGGTTTAAACTCCAGAGCTGAATGTATTTCTTTTAATAATATGAGAACCGCTAATTGGTCCCAATATTTTAGTGGCATTTGGCACAAACAGCTACTTCCATACTAAATAAAGCTCTATAATCTTCATTTGAATCATCTTCCTTTATCCATCCACATAGGCACTGTTAATAAATATATTATATTGGACGTTAACACTATATGCATAGAGTTAATTTTTGTCTGTACATTCCAGGTGACAACCGCACCAAGAAGCGCCTCCTCCGCCCCATGAACAAGCTGCACGACATCGCAGCGTTCGCGGGCCACCAGCACCAGCGGGTCCACGTGTCCCCGCAACTAATACTCGCAACCTTCCAGTTTCTAAGCACCAGTCAGTATATATATACTAGCTTTCCGCCTCCGCTTCGCCCGCGTGGAGTTCGGTTATATCGCATTACCAAGAGAACTTTTCAAAAGTCCGGGATTATAACTATCCTGTTCTTTCTCAAGGTCAACTCTATGTCTGTACCAAATTTCATTAAAATCAGTTCAGTGGTTTAGACGTGAAAGTTTAATAGACAGACAGAGTTACTTTCGCATTTATAATATTAGTAGGGATATACCATAAAGACATATGACTTTCGCGAGTATGACATTAATGAATTTAATATTATTCGGCTTTCTACCTGTATTTATTATTATAAACTAGATACTCCCGACGTTTCGGTTACTTTGCGGCAACCGTGATCACAGGCAGACGAGATGTAGATAGTATGTAGTTAAAATAATAAAAACGCCTAGAATATCAAAAATATTAGTTTCTTTTAAATAACAACTATATTTAATCACGATATCCAGCTTTTAATTTCATATTCCAGCTGTTCATATTATATAATATTAGAGTTTCATGAATTCAATCTATTTCCAGGTGTTGATCCATTCCGAGCGGACATGATCTCCGAGAACGTGCTGCGTCGTCTGCTGAAACAAGACGTGATCCAACACGTGAAGCTGAGGGGTGACGAGGATAAGAACGACCCCAAGAGATACGTCTTCCAAGAAGGGAAACCGGTACGACAACACTAGTATACTAGAATAGTCCGTTAGTATAAGCTGAGCTTTGCATCTGTGTAAAGTAGAAGTAGAGATAGACAAAAAAGTTTGAGAATTCTATTTTAAATAGATACATAACATAAGTGCTATAAAATAATCAAAACTTGTAAAAAGCCAGATGGAAATATTATGGAAAAAAAAATGTTGAAAAAACTATACAAATTCTTCTTCACTTGACATTGCGTTTTCAACATTTGATTTTGCTACCAGTACAAAGGGTGAAGAGCGGAAGGTGCGGGGCGGAGTAAAAGCAGAATAAACCGGTTCAAAACTAGAAAAGAACGTTGTATTTAAAAATTTGACATCACACCTACACTATCCGTGTACACTTACACAAATGCAAAACTCAGCTTAAATCAAATCAGTATAATATAATGTTTTAATATTAAGAACTATTAGAATTGGTATGAACCAAACAATCTAAGTTGTCTGTTGTCGAAATAGCTCACCAGAGGCGCCACTGTCTATGCCGCAAATATCACTTTATTTGGTTGTATTATACTCTCTTTTGTCAATTGTTTGAATCAATATTTTCGCCCAATTCTATGAAGTAATTTAGTACGTATTATTCTCCTATCAAATTTAACTATAACTTACTGAAGTGTTGTATAGAGAAATATAATTATAAATATAGACCAACCAATAGACCAACTTATCTTATAACTTTGATACCTTACTATGAAATAAATATTCATTTAAAATTATAGATATCGTAGTGGCCTAGAGGTTAAAGATCCGCCTATCATGCATGAGCGCAGTTTCTAAACCTGACAAGTACGCATGTGATTTTTCCGAGCCATATGTACTTTATAAGAGTATTTAGACACCACTGAGATATGAAGGAAAACATCGTGAGGGAACCTGAACTTAAAATTTCAAATAAGTTTGAAATCACCAACCCGTCTTGAACGAGCGTGGTTATTAATGCTCAAACCTTCTACATGTGAGAAGAGGCTCAGCAGTGGGCTCTGATAGACTGATGATAATTATGATAGATTTACTTATATCACGTTTAAGCCTACAGTATTGAGTTATCAGTAAACTCCCTAACTAATTAATATTTAATTATTATCATATATTAATATGTGGTATTATTTGGTGAAGGTGGACTACTTCGTGTTGATCCTGGAGGGGCGCGTGGAGGTGACCGTCGGCCGAGAGAACCTCATGTTCGAGGCGGGGCCCTTCACGTACTTCGGCGTGCAGGCGCTCACGCAGAACGTGGGAGTGGGTGAGAGATACACGGACATACACTGAGATAGACAGAGATAGAGATATAGATTATATATGAACAGTTTATTACTTTATTAGGCTACTTGTATGTGATAAAGCAGAACGTAGGAGTCAGTGTGAGATTGAGAGAGAATAGAAATGATTGCTATCTAACATTAAGTCAAAACATATTTGACAATGTAAAAAAAAATCTATTAGAAAATCAAATATGAACCAATAACTTGTTCTTTATGTCGTTCAGTCACTTTCTGTACTAAACTCTTCTTCCTGGCAATTTCTCAGCTTTAGCCAGGGCCTTTCATGTTGTAAATTTTGGCTAATTGTTTTTTACGAACGTCTGCCTGACATCAACCGTCTTTTGGGCCTTCTGTACTAAACTACATATTATGTCCTACTAATAATATCTTTCTATAACATATTATTTATCTTTCAGCGGAGTCCCCAGCCCCTTCGACCCTGGGTTCGCTCCAAAACCTCAACATGGACTCTATGTTGGGTCACACTTTCGTTCCGGACTACTCTGTAAGAGCTATTGCTGAAGTCTACTACTTGACCATTAAGAGGTATATATTTATGTGATTAGATCTATCTTTTAAATTTAATATATATAGCATCATAACGATATCTTTTCTAGAATTCATTCAAATAGAAGAAATTTTTTTTCGGATTACTACGCATTTTTTATGATTTTTAAAGTAGCTTCTGAAACGTCGGAAGTATTAGAATTTGAAGCAATGTTCCTAATATTTGATACATTCTTGAATCTGGATCAAAACTCACCATCTTTCGCCACTACGATTACTATTTCATAAGATATATAGATAAACAAAGAGTAAATGCTATATTTAATGTTCAAACTCCGGTATTGGCAGGAAAATGCCGTATCTAGACTTAAAAAACGGAGTTAAAATGACAATTTATACTATCTATAAGGTTGTTTTTTACACCAAAAATATGAACGGTAAAAATTTTAAACATTTTTTCTTTCGTTTCATTAATATTCTCGGTACCTACTCGATATTTTTTAGTAAGATTCTTAAATTGCAAAATTTCAAATAACAGATTCCGTTTCTTTATTTCGATACGACTATTTTCATCAAAAATACAATCGCTGTTTTCCTCTGGTGTATAGCACAGTTGTATACTTATGTAAAATTAATAATTAAATAAAACAATTATTGAAGTATTTATAACAATTTTATAGGTAAATTATAAATTTTGTGAGTACATCAAAGTTTCACGATAGAAGAAAATATGTAATCAAGTGAAAAAATACAGATTTTAGAATTATGCGATATTAATTATGATAGTATACAAGAAAATATTCTATAAATAATAAAAATTAAATTACCGCATACAACTACAGAAAAAAAAATTACGTAATCAATTTGACGTATATTAGGCGGGAAATTTTTGATAAATGCAAAAACTAAAACAACCGATCTTATGTTTTGTTTTCTAAATGTTTTACAAAATATGCCATAAAGAGAACATAATTTCTAAATTACAATAAATTTTTATAGATTAATCTTTTAAAGAAAAATGTTTTAAACTTTTAATAACCAAAAATCCTATATAACAGATCTATGTATCTTGCTGCGAAGCGCGCGACACTCATGGAGAAAGGGGCGCTCAACAAAGGAGGAACCAACGAGCAGATAGAACCAGAAGTTGACAAGGTATTACTAACAAACATACAATAAGATCATTCTTGTATTCATTCTTCTACCTGGCAATTTCCCAGCTATATCCAGGGTCTGCCTAATGTATTAAGTTTTCGTAACTAAAGTCCATTCATCATTACTATAGTCCTCATCTTTTAAATCGTGATCATTTCAAGATGTTCATCTGTACATATGAAAACGTTTTCTTGCTTTTACTAACAAATATGTCTTTACAAATCAAAAATAATAAGTGAATTTCTTCTTCTTCTTCACCTGGCAATTTCCCAGCTTTAGCCAGGACCTTTCATATTGTGAATAGTTTTGGCTAATTGTTTTTACGACGCCGCCTGCCTGACATCAACCATCTTTGGGAAAACCATTCTTGTATTCATTATTGTAAAAAAAATCTTGTGCCGTCATCATCTTAGGGGTTGTCCATTAATCACGTGATCTTTTTTTAGCATTTTTAAACCCCCCCCCGCCTCCATTGGTGATGCGTAGTGAGGTTTAAGACCACCCCCCCTCCCCCTTCTCAACATCACGTGTATTTTTAGTACCTACAACGAATCTTAAAATTTTCTGAATATTATCTTAATTTAAATACAGGTATAAACTATAATCTTATTTTATTCTGAAATTAAGGACCATAATAAATTAATATTTGTTTAAAAAAGGCGCGTTAGACGAAAAACTAAATACACGAGATATCTTACTACACCCCCCCTCCCCCTTGTGTTATTTTCGTGATTTTTATCAAACCCCTCCCCACCCCCCTTTCAAGCCTCACGTGATTAATGGACAGCCCCTTAGTAATAAATCCTAACTCAATGACAATTAAATACAGTATTTTCGAAGTAAAACTTGTTTATGCACGAAAGGTAAGCTGGTAAAAGCGTTACGAAAAATGTGATTAAGAGAATTAAAGTGAGAGGGAGATATAAATTAGTGAAGATAGACAGAGACAGTGTTATGATTCATAAATCATCATCATAATGAATGGATGCATGGAGATTGTATGAACTTTGTAATAACATTTCTCCGCTTGATGACGTAACAATATTGAAAAACCTTATTATCACAGATTCTTGTGACAGCTCAAAATATAATTGATTTACATATCTCATTATGATAATCCACCATAAGTTTAACTCTTCAAAAAAAAGATTGATTTTAATGTATTAATTGAAAAAATATGTATTATTTCAGCTTCTACGCGAAGGTGACGGCCACAAGCTTGAAGAAATAGTGGAAAATGAAAAAGAAAACTCTCTCGTGAAACCGGTATGTAATATAAGAATTACTGTATTTATACTCAAATTACTCTTAGTATAAGTTTGATAAACTAAATACACAACGTTTCGCGTTTTCTTTTCGTATAACTCTTCATACTAAGGTAATTAAATTTAATATTAAAATATCTTTTTTTGTAATCACGCTAAAAGGAGGCGAAGGAAAGGTATTGATATGGTATGTTTAGAAAATTAATTTAATTAATGTGTAAATATTATATATTTTAGTAATTTTAAGTAGCAACACTGTTGACACCATATCTTATATATGGCAAGCTTAACTTCGATTTATTTTCTTACTAGCTTTCCGCCCGCAGCTTCGCCCGCGTGGAGTTCGGTTATATCGCGTTTCCAAGAGAACTTTTTAAGTCTGGGATAAATACTATCCTATGTTTTTTCTCAAGGTCAACTCTATTTCTGTACCAAATTTCATTAAAATCAGTTCAGCGTTTTAGGCGTGAAAGCGTAACAGACAAACAGAGTTACTTTCGCATTTATAATATTAGTATTAATTTTACATATATTTATAAATTTTTATTATAATTTCAGTTCAATCCTACATCGGCCAGCCCATTCACCAATTCCACCTTCAAGTCATACGACAAAGAAAATCCCGAAGAAGAAAAACTTCTAAAGAAATGACAATTTCGCGGTGAAAGCTTAAATCACAATCTTTTCTCCCGTATTTAATAAACGCATTTTTCTTTAACATAGCTCTAGTATAGTGTGAAGTACTTATTTTTTATGACTTAGAATCACAATTAATTTAATAAGTATATACAAAATATTAATTTTTTTTCTATATATATTACCTATACATTGTCCATTTGACTATTTTTATATACCTTAGTGTGAGTTACTATCGCACTTACGTTCTAACTCTGAGTCGATAGTTTTACTGTTAAACTCACAGTAAGGTAGTTATCCAGTCGTGCCTTAACCACCGGTGCTTTAAACATTTTTTTAAATGTTCCCGTGTATTTCAGACGTAATATTTAATGAGAGATTTTAAATAAATATATTGTGCAATTTATATGTTTTTTTGTTATTTAAATATATATTTTGAAAATCAAATCGGTTATATTAATTTAACTATTAGTTAAATATCCGAATTTTTAAGTCTTGATTACACTGCTCATAATTATACAAACAAACAATTATTTAACGAAATTTCTATAACTTGAGAATAAGAAAACAAAATACATAATATATAAATTAATTTATATAAAAACTAACAAAATTTTTATGAAATTCTTATTATATAGGTACTGCTAAGTATAAAAGGCTATAAATCTGACATTCGTAAGAAAAGCCACGCTTTAGAACTAGTTTAAAAATAAATAATCAAATAAAATAATAATTAGTTTATTTGTCACGATGATAATTTACTGATGTCTTCATATTGAACCTCCTTCACCAGTCTCCCTGTTAATAATCCTTCTGATATCTGAAATGAAAGATAATATTTTATACAAGAAAATAGTTGGTTGATAAGTGAAAAAACTTTGCTTCGAAGATAGGTAGGACTACGGAGAAGGATAGACTGATGCTACTGATATAGACGAAACCGAGGGTACAAGTTAGTGAAAAAATAGTTTTTCATCTATTTTAATTTTACTTTTCATGATAATATATTTTTTTCAATAACAAAACTTTATCTATCAAATAATTTTCATTAATATGCCATTCCTATATTCATGGTTATTTATTGCAAACACAGTAGTTATAAAACTACTGAATTCATTTTGATGAAACATTGTATTTGGATAGTTTTTTTTACAGATTACATTATGATATAACCTTAACTGGACAATAACAATTATTTCAAAGTATGAAAAGCATACCAAAATTTTCTATATTACTTAAATAAGGAACAAAAATTATATATATAAAACAAGATAATATTGCGAACGCCTACCCAATATGTCTAGCAGAAGCTAACAAGAGAATTTGCTATTAAATGACTCCAGTCGTTTATTATATTCTAACTAATATAATAAAACAACTTACCTCTACGTCGCAGCAGTATTTGTCAGTATTAATATCTTTTAACACACCAATCTGTCCTCTGTAAGCTCCGTTCACGAACTTCACGTTTCTTCCCGGCGAAGGTATCACAGTTTCAAGATGATTCTGAAAATATATATCTTTACTAGCTTTCCGCCCGCAGCTTCGCCCGCGTGGAGTTCGGTTATATTGCGTTTCCAAGAGAACCTTTCAAAAGTCTGGGATAAAAAATATCCTATGTTCTTTCTCGAGGTAAACTCTATCTGTACCAAATTTCATTAAAATCAGTTCAGTGGTTGAGTCGTGATATTACTAGTAGGAATATGTTTATAAATGAAAGTTGTTTTAGTTACACTATTTATAACTCAAGAACTATACGGGTTTGGATGAAGATTGGTAGATAGATATCTTAGAATATAGGACATAGGATACTTTACATCCGATTGAAAAAGAAATAAAAATAAGTTTATCAAATCCAAAATCTACTGTCTTTAAGTAATAGAGTTCACCCTGCAGATATACATTTCTTATTCTGAAACTAACGCAGACGAAGTCACGGACAAAATCTAGTATATTATATATAGTATCTAACAAGATAAAAAAATCAAAATATTCCTATAAAAAGCTAATTTTGGACATGAAAACGCAGTATATTAATACATTTACATTATAAATCTTAATATTTTTAACTAATTAGCACTGCATGCCGGTCATTTGGTAAAACTAAAGCAATCTATTCCATAGACAATACAAATCATTACAATCAGTACAATAATTTCATATACACCTAAGGCATAGACAATTCTAGTTATTTTTCTCACAAACATTACCTGATCCAACTTCAAAGTGACAGCCTCATCGGTCAATTTCACATGGGCACCATATTTATCCACAACTTTTATTATAGTTCCTTTCCTCTTATAATATTTATCACCGAGACTCTTGGTGACTATCTTCACTATGATGCCTTCATCCAACCAGTGATCCTTTCTGAAACATCCAACGAGACAAGATAAAAAATGTATACAAGAATCTATTATGTAATACTAGCTGACCCAGCAAATGTTGTTTTGCCATATAAAAAAATAGAGGTTGGTGATATAATAGTAAAATTTTTGTGTTGTATGTGTTTTTTAATGCTACAATATAAAAAAATGGTCCAAAAATAATAATTAAGGGTGAATAACCCTTATGACTTAGGGGTATGAAAAATAGATGCTGGCCGATTCTCAGCTCTATTCAATATGTTCACAAAATTTCATCAAAATCGATCCTGTCGTTTCGGCAAAGTTCTCTGTCTAACACCATTACACGAGAATTTTATATATAAGATATAAGTTGAGATTTTTCATTCAAAATAAATGAATTCCTTACAGTTAAGTTCATTTAGTTATTCATTTAAATGTAACTCACCGGTTATGCCTTTCTTTCTCTCTCTCCTGCATCTCTATAATCTCATCTAAAGCCGTTTGTTTAACTTTTTCTTCTGTCTTTATCTTCTTCACCGGTTCAGTTTTCACTTTCATTTTGAAAGCCGCTTTTATTTCTGGTTTCACTTCTGTGATAAAAATAATTTAATGTATTTAAGAAGAATTTAATTATATTGTATGTTTGAATAAATTTGTAAATAAAGAAGTTTTAATTCAAATGAAATAATATTTTTAGGATACTACTCGTTTTCATTATTATATATCTACATGATCATTAGTAGACATTTTCATTTAGTTGATATTAGGAACCAAAATATTAATTATATACAAGGTGACTGGTGAATTACTATCGATACTTGAGGACGTGATATTTGATGATCATATATGACAAAATAAAAATTAATATAACATAAATATTAATAAACTTCTAAGTAAAGTTAACCAAAAGTTATGTAATTAATTAGGCACCGTGTGAACACCCTACAGATTAGGTATACACACACACACATACGCGTGCGGCGGCGTGGTGTTGTATCAGCACGCCGCCGCACGCGTCCACACTTGGAACACTTGGAACGTGTCCACACTTTTTTATTTATACGGAAATTTGGTCAAAAATTAAGTACCTATTTTTTTTACATAATTCGAATGAGAATCATGTACCGAGTATTCTCCTTAAATATTGATAGTAATTCACCAGTCACCCTGTAGAAAAAAGAACACAGTATCCGAAAAAATATAATTAGCAATTGACAAATTTTGCCAGAATGTACTGAAATTGTTGCTCTCCTAAACAAAAACTACTGAAATGATTGTGATTAAAATTATAAATAATGTAGCTTATACATCGGGAATATATGTAGGCTATAATTTATCCTGGGATTATATTAATTAGAGATAATAGCATAAGAATTATATAAATCATTGCTATATCTTTCTAAGAGTATTGAAACACCACCAACAGATGAAGGAAAACATTGTGAGGAAACCTGGACTTATATCAAGTTATAAGTTTGAAATCACCAGCCCGTCTTGAGCGAGCGTGGTGATTAATGCTCTAACCTTCTCCATGTGAGAAGAGGCTCGGCAGTGGGCTCTGATAGGGTGATGATGAATGAAATTAACTATATCTATGGCATAACATATTATATCTAAAGCCAAAAATAATACATGTATATAGACAAAATTAAGGGCTAAAACTAGTCTATAATAATTTTGCGACTATATTGTTGGTGTAAATATCAATTGTATATAAAAATTATAATTTTCAACTAACCTTCAACCTTTCTCTTCATATTTAAGTTCAATGTCAACTTTTCCTGACTACTCTCTCTCTTTAATTCAGTGAATTTCGGTTCAACTTTTGTAGTTTCCTTCTTTCCTTTTTCAACTTGACGTCTGATAAATTCTAGCATTCTTTCCTGGAAAATTATATATATGCTTTACTCAATTGTATATAAAAAAGTTATGTGGGTATTAAATTTACTAAAAAGTCACATATACTCGAAGATAGTGCAAATCTGGGTAAGTAGCATTGGATAATTATGCATATCTACATTGGAAGATTATTAGAAGAAAGTTTAAGCTGAAATATTTGCTAAATTAACGACTATTAAGGTATTTTTTTAACTATTAGTAATTATTTATTACCAATATATAATCTATGACGATAAATAATGTAAATCTTCTATATATATAAAAATGGATTGCTGTTCCTTAGTCTCGCTAAAACTCGAGAAGGGCTGAACCGATTTGGCTAATTTTATTCTTGAAATACTCCTGGAAGTCCAGGGAAGGTTTAAAAGGTGAGAAAAATTGGAATAATTGCCGGGAAAACCCTAAAAACAGCCCTTTTCTATTTCCCATACAAACGATTTTTTGACATTAGGCTTGACAACTAACTAATATGTCAATCATTCTGTTCGATTGAAACAGTAGAAATTTAATAAATACCAATACCGGGTTATTGAAGACGGAATAGAGTTCGCCCGGTCAGCTATACCTATATTACTAATGACGAAATTAACGCGGACGAAGTCGCGGGCAAAAACTAGTTGAGTTATTATTTAGTCATTAACCTGGTCATCTTTATCACATTTATCCTTCTTCGCCTTTGCCTCCTGGGCGGCTATAGTTGCCGGATCCCTATCTATGTATGCCACGTACCAACCCTTTTCTGTTTCGTCGACAACGCACTTGCCTTCCCGACCTAACCACTTGACGAAATCGGTGAGGGTTTCCCATTGGGTTGCATTCATGTGGAGATGATCTCTGAAAGAATATATATATATTTGAGCATTGAAGATATGTGATTGGAAAGTTAGGTTTAAATTATAAGTCAGTCATAGGAAATAAAATTTTTATGACTTTGATTGTAATTAAAAGCTTAATTTTTCATAAACTAGTAGTTATTATTATTTTATATCTACATTCTACATTAATGATACTTTTATCTGTTCTGCCCATGATCACAGGTGTTGTGAAGTAATGTTAGTATATTAATATATAGATATTAAAAAACTCAGAGTTTTCATAGTACTTAGTTTCATTTAATTTGAAAATAAATGTATGTATATTATGTAAGTGTATATACATATGTGAGACTTAAAAATAATTGAAGAAAATAGTCTTTCTAAAACCATAAACATACAATTTCAAGATATACTCTCATCAATTAACTAGCTTGTTCTGTTAATTCATAAAAATATCTTAGACTATATAAGTTAGGAAACAGTAATATTAATACAATTCTTGACTAGTTACCGATGGGATATGTAATCCTGGTAGACTTTATTAGCATTCACACGCTTGGTACCGAACTGACGACGAAGAAGCTCCACATAACCATCGGAAAATTCTTTCGAGAACTCGTCAATGTATTTTGATGCGTTATCAGCAAAGAGCAGTAATTGGCGCTGATGGGATTCAGACATCGTGTGGCATTTGAAGCCATTCTCATCCCTGCACTGTTTCTGGCACATCTGGCAGTACCATCGTAATTTTTGAAGACCTTTTGCTTTGATTTTGTTCGCTATGTATTTTGGGGTACCCTTCTCTGCTTTACCCATTTTTGGGCTCTTCTTCACTATACCACTTTAGACCTGTTTTTAATGGTAATTTTATATTTTTGTGTACCCGTTATAGAAATATTTCACAATAAAATAACAATAATGTTTTTGGAATAATGAAGTTTTGGTAGCTAATGTCAATTACAAACTGAATGAGCAAAACAGATTAAATTCTTTTGTGAAATGTCAGTTTTGGATGAAGGTACTTTGAGACAAGATTATTATTATACTTTAAAATTTACATATTGTAGATTTTTTTTTAATCCATAACCTATTTAAATATACTGAACTGCACTTAAAATTTACTGTTTATTTATATCCGAAAAAGGATAAATAAATACTATTTTCGTAAAATATTTTTTTCTGAATACAAAACCTTATTTATGTTTAATTTTCCTTTGATATTAAAATTATGACAAATTAGAAAAACAATCTTCAATGTTACATTATGCACGCGAAATATGTACCGTAATAATACAAAATTGTTTAAATTAACAAATTATATGTTTGCTTTTTAATTACATACATGAAATGGACGTGCTATGGTCTAAAGAAAGATTGCAAAAAATATTTAGTAAAGTAAGCAACTGAACAACATATTTATGTATATTTTTTAAATTAAAATATGACATATGGCACATCCGAAAAAAAAATCAATGTTAAATATACAGCGAATGGTAATTCAATTATTATAAAATTTTTATTTATTATTACTTTTGTAAGTTTAAAATGATTAATAACTTAGAAAAGTTAAAGAAATGGACACATTATATATAAAACCTATTTGTTATTAAACTTTTTATAAATTAGGCGGTATTTTTAAGGATTCCCTTCGCTTAGCGGCAGTACAGGCGTCTGGAGATGGCGCTGCACCAATGCCATGTTGTCGCTTATGTGGTGGAGATTATAATTTACACTGCTTCACTGAAAGCTATATGTGGGAAGGAGTGGAGGAAAGATATGATCAGCTTTTGCTCGATTGCTTTGGAGTTCATGTAAGGATGTACAAATATTTACTGCTCAAAAACCGGTATTTATAAAAATAAAAATCGGAAGGTTTTATATATTTATATACCGGTTAATTACTTTACTATGTTAAGTACAAGTTATTTTTAATATTAGAGAGTAAAAGTTAAAATTTCTAAATTAAAGCATCGTTTTTGTTATTGTACACATAAATAATGCATGTCATGTCAAAATATTAGACACTACCGTTTGAATTTTACAGCAGACCACTGAAATAAATAGTAAAAAAGATCTTTTTTTGTTTTTGTGGCATGTTTGTGTTTATTTAATAAAAAAAAATAACTTTTTGAAAAAAAAACAGCTGAATGACTAACGAAACTATTTTGATTTATTTTTTTGGTTTTAGGTTGTCAAAAAATCTTAACTTATTCTCCGAAAAGAGGTTTTAATGAATCCATTTTAATGTAATGATATTAACTATTGATCTTCTCATAATATCTACTAATATATATTCCAGGTTCTTCCTGATTGCATGATTTGTGAGCGCTGCATCCGTCAACTTCGAAGTACTCAGCGTTTTAGGGCACTTGTTTATTCAGCATTTGCCAGACCGCCGAGCGAATGTAAGACAATCTAAGTACCCTCAAAACGATTGTGTATGACTAACTGTCTAGAATCTAGATTTTAGGGTGACGTTTTAATATAAATAATATGTGAGAAATCTTGTATTGTCTATGGGGAATATATAACGGTTGCTGTAAAGAAATGTTAAACTTGGGGAAAATGTAAAATCTATAAAATATTTAAATGAAACTAATATTTTCGGATTTACTACGCATTTTTTTTAAATTTTTGACTATCATCTACATACTCCCGTCTTTAGGGTTACTTTGCAGCAACCTTGATCATGATGGCGAGATGTCTGTCTGTTTGTCCTGTTATTTATCATCTACCCTTTCTACCCATAAAATATTTCTCTAAATTAACGTAATTTTCTTATCCCTACTAATATTATAAATGCGAAAGTAACTCTGTCTGTCTGTCTGTCTGTCTGTCTGCTACGCTTTCAAGCCTAAACCACTGAACTGATTTTAATGAAATTCGGTACAGAGATAGAGTTGACCTTGAGAAAGAACATAGGATAGTTTTTATCCCAGACTTTTGAAAGGTTCTCTTGGAAACGCGATATAACCGAACTCCACGCGGCGAAGCTGCGGGCGGAAAGCTAGTATATATATATAATTGATGAATAAAGAGTATATGACTTCAGGTTCAGCAAACAGATCCCAAATGGAAGTAGACGAAGGTTTCCAGCAGCTAAGAGTAAAAAACACGGAACCTTCGAAGGTGAATCTATACAAGAAGTCGACTAGAACGACCATAGACAATGTAAATAGAAAAACAAAGAGCATAGATCGAAAATCTGCTTTCAACTCCAATACTCAGATAAGGAGGATGAATATATCTTGCACGGTTTGCAAGCAGAGGTATCCGATGGTGGTGCCTTATGATGGGGTGAAGAAATTCGTTTGTTCGCGTTGCAAGAAAAACAGCGAGCCTCGGAATATATGTAGGAAGTGTAATGTTATTCTACCAGCGACTATGATGAAGGACCATATGGAATTGCACGACCGCGCGGATTTGAGAGGCAAGAGCAGGTATTGCACAGATTAATATGAGTTTTATATTCTGTATTTATTGTTTTATCTGTGTCAGATTAATATAATTGGTATATAAATTATTTTTCTCAGTTTTCTAAGCTTTATTTCTATTTGAAAATTCAGTTAAATTCTTTTGTGTGGGCCTAAATATGCCTATACATTGAGGCTTGTTTTAGAACTCTATGGAAGAATTGTTAGACAAATAGTAAAGTATAAAGTATAGACAATTATTTTATTTTTAATACACGCCCGTCTAATATTTACTTAGTTGAATCTATAGATTTTAAAGTGCCATATAGTGAGTCTTTCATTCATTTAAAATTCTTATGAGGAACTCTTGTTAGACATATAATGTCAAATTATAGATACTTATTTTGCTTGAATTTATTCAAATTCTTTCAGGCTCTTCAGCCTGCCAAAAAAGGCGTCGCAAATCACGAAAAGAGACATATTCGAGAGGCGGAAATATTACTGCAGCCAATGCGATAAGAAATTCACAGTCGCCCAACATCTAGCACACCATGTTAGCACAGTGCACAAGCACAGTCTAGACTGTCTCTGTGCTGTGTGCGGCAAGGATTTGAAGACCCGGGACCTGTTAGACCGGCATATGCGCATGCACACTGGCCAGCCGATATACCAATGCGATGTATGCATGCGCGTCTTCAAAGGAAAGCGCGCATTCCAAACCCACTATTTGACGCACGGAAAATAAACTGTCATATGTCAAAACTGGAATGTTGGTAGCGTTTCATATCCTCATGTTGGCAGCCATTGAGTTAGAGGTTATTTTATGAAGTAGCTTATGTATATACATTATTTTTTAATTGTATTTTTATGTTTTATAGTACTTTTACATTTATTAAATCTCTTTTGAGATGTTTGATATTTGTTTTTTCTTTATATGTGTATGGAGTTTTAAACAAATCAGTTTTATGTGAAGGTTTTCTGGAATGGATCTAATTAGAATTAGCCATTCAGAAACATTTATTTTTTTTTTTATAAATTGGATGCTTCAATTAAATATTATAAGAAATTCAACGATAAATATGTTACAAATTTTGTTTAGTTCAACATGATGGGTGATTTCTGACGATCCACAATGGGCGTCCTCCTTTTATATCAAAAGTAATTAATATCTATTCCAAAAATATATCATTATACAAATAAAAAACTAATATCTTTATTAATAGGTAGTTACCTTTGTAAATTACTTGAGTGGTAAGTGTAGATTACCTGAAGGTTAGTGGCGATGGTTAACGGACTATCAAATTAAATCCTTTTAATCTTTACTTAAACACATCCAAATAAATTGTATAGGCACTATATAAAATGAAATCGTGGTGTCCTAGTGGTTAAAAGGTCTGCCTCTCATGCATGAGGGCGCGGGTTCGATCCTGGCAAGTACCAATGTGATTTTTCCGAGTCATATGTACTTTATAAGAGTATTTAGACACCACTGACAAATGAAGGAAAAACATCGTGAGGAAACCTGGACATATAATTTCACGATTATAAGATTGAAATGACAAAGTACCAACCCGTTTTGAGCAAGCGTGGTTGTTAATGCTCAAACCTTCTCCATGTGAGAAGAGGCCTTGCTCAGCAGTGGGCTTTGATAGGCTGATGATGATTATTTAAAATGCTATACTAAAGTAGATTGCATTTACGAGACCGTATCAACACTGGCGCACCCTAGCGGTGACTTAAAAAACACGGGACTAACGGAGAAATACATTACAAAAGAAAAAACTTAATTTCATTTAAACTACTGAAACTTTTTAACTCTGATTAGATAAAATAGAATTATAAAAAAAATAACTTCCATATCTTGATTAAAATTATATTTTAGAAAGATGTTTTTAATTTTGTAAGTAAGAAATATTGAATTTAAATTCCTTTATAAAACACATGTACTATAATTTCACCTGTTCAATACTATACGGTGTCATCCATCGAGAAGAGATAAAAAACGTAAACAATATTTACAGGGTCCAAATAAAACAACTAATAATATATCATAACTATTTAGTAAGTATATAAACATTACATAGACAAAATAATAATTAATTAATTAATTTACTAATTCACAAATCATAATTAATTCTCTATAATAATTAAAAAGAACATCGGAAACTCACGCTACGATTTGATTTAAATAAAAAATATAATATATATATAAAAAAAATTGCATTTTTTTTCCGTTAAACTTACTTACATCTAGAACTCTTGGGTTTTTTTAGTAAGTTTTTTTTCAAAAAATGAAGAAAATAATACAAACGATTTTATTTACATATTCCGAAAACATAAAAAAAAACAAAAAAAAGTCGAGATTCCCGCAACGGTACTAAAATAACCCAAGCAGTTTATTTTTATCTAGACTTAAATTTTACCATTTATTTTATACAGCATTCCATACACCGAAAAAGGAAAAAAAAGATAAAAAAAATATTACACTATCTTAAAAGATAACGGGGGATTTTATTGTAAAAAGTTTTTATATCTCCAATTTTGTACAAAAAATTTTTCATTGGACATTTAGATAAATGAATAAATGCTTCCCTAACTTTAAACTTGTTAAAAATATTGAAATTATATTCTGATAGCATGATCACACAAAGCAATTAGGAACATTCAACTTAAAATAAAAAAAAAATCAATTAATTAATAATTTAAATATATATATGGAAGATTTAACGAGCATCGATACAACGATACAACTGTCCACAAATCCCTAATGCGTTGAAACCAGCAATAAATATATTACAGACATAAATACAGAATTTAATAATTAATAATAATAATAATAAATCTATATAATACGAACATACTGACATAAAAAATATTCTCTATATCATCCCTAAGTGCTGAGTTGTTGGCGAACTTTTTGACGTCACAAAAAAACATACAAACTTTTTTAATATTTAAAATCCGAATAAAAAAAACCGATTACATAAATCGCTGGCTGAAAACGAAAAAAAATAAAAAAAAAACTACCTGCCGAAACGTCAAGTGACACTGACATGTCACAGCTGTCAGTTACATTTGACGCTGACAAGTGACGGGTGACAGCTGTCAGTGACATCGACGCTGACGGCTGTCAGTGAGACCGACCGCCAAAAAGCCGCCTGCACAAACAAAACTCCGGTGCCGTAAATCATGATGCTTGAAAAAAATTAAAAAAAAAAAAAACCTAATAAATAAGACGCGACCGTTTGACATCTACGCAGTATGACGGCGCGGTCGCGTGGAATACATTCATATTAAGGGCGGTGTGACGCTCACTGCATGAAGTAGTCCGGGTGGTCGGGATCCTTTTCGAATCTCTTCGCCTCCTCCTGCATGCTCTCCTTTATCTTTAGTATGGCAGCCGACTCCGTCTGGTCGTTCTGGTCCCCGCCCGGACCGCCGAAACCTTTCAAGCGGGGTTAACGAACTTTTGTACACATTAACTTGTTGATTTTGACGTAATAATTACTTATTTTATGGGCCATTTTTTAAATATATTAATTAGGAGAGGGTAGTAAAGACGGTGAAGGAAAACATCGTGAGGAAACCTGGACTTATAATCCCTACTAATATTATAAATGCGAAAGTAACTCTGTCTGTCTGTTACGCTTTCACACCTAAACCACTGAACAGATTTTAATGAAATTCGGTAAAGACATAGAGTTGACCTTTAGAAAGAACATAGGATAGTTTTCCCAGACTTTTGAAAGGTTCTCTTGGAAACGCGATATAATCGAACTCCACGCGGGCGGCTGGCGGAAAGCTAGTGTATGAGACGAAACCGCTTAGCATTCAATGGATTCACCGTGCGGGTGCCGGGTCCATCGCGTTGCAGGGAGAGGAGCTTCAACAGTGCCTGGGACTTGCGACCCAGGTGTAGGTTTAAGGGGCCCCTTACCTAACGCGCGTTATACGCTCACCTCCACTGTCCAAGTTCCTCTCCCTACCTAACCAAATTTGAAAAGAACCTACTATATATTAGTATGTATATACTCACTTAAATTGTAATCCCCCATTCCAGAACCGGAGTCTTCTCTGGGTGTCCCCGGGCCTCCGCCCCCAACACCCCCCGGGGACGCCTTCATCCCGTCCACACCACCCAGACCTGGTTACATGTGGCGACGCGAATTCATTACACAAACATATATACATTACAACTATACAGAGAACTAACATTAAAAAACTGAATTAAAAACAAAAAAAACAAAAAACAGAAAAAAAAATTTGCGTCACCACAGTTTTATAGAAAAAATTCGTCTATCTCTATCTATTTATCTATATATCTATATCTCGTTATGATCGTTTCATTCTACCTTCATATCTATACACGTGGCGTGGTATTTGACGTGTGGTTTATGATATAATTTGTGTGAGCAATAACTACGTAGATGTGACCATAACGATATTGAAAAAAACCAAACAGAAATCAAGTTATACATTCGATTTAAAAAAAAAACGTCTCGTGTATAATTATATTTTTTTATTATTTGTACAACCCTAACGTATAATCCTATTTCTATATAGGGTTCCGTACCCGTATAATAAGATTCTATTATAAGCTATAGGATACGGAGCCCTAGTTTGTGGCACCTTCGGAAGTGGGAGGTTGTGGTAGGTGCTGCGACGACGGCCCGTGCTCGCCGGCGAGCGGGAACTCCGCCCCTAGGGCTCCGCCAACCGGCTTCATCAACGTGTACATGTTGTCGCCGCCTGCCGCGCATAATTACGCGTCAGCTAACACCACTTATGCCGTTTTTTTTTGTATAAAACTCATATTTAATCAACGTATATATCATATGCTACGTTTATACATTTACCGGAACAAGAAGTCATAAAACAGAGCTAGAGTCACATCACAGTCATTTCTACGTAGTTATTACACCGGTTGAAGTCATTGTGTTAGTTTAAAACGATATAAATATAGTTTTATGACTTCCAACCGGGGATTACGTTCCGTAGATTCCCAACTAGCAACTAGCACGTCATAAACGGAATTATACACGTGAGAAATCCAATTATACACTCGACGTAGCAACTAAATTATACATATGACGTTTTCCACGAATTATACAAGTGACGTTTTTATAGATTTGTATAATTTATCTAGTTGGAAAGCTACTTGTATAGAAGTACACGAAAGCGCCAAGCGTGATTCAGAAAAGCAGAATGAAGCGAAACGAAAAAGGAATATGAACGAAGAACTTAAAAAGTTAGGAATAATTATAAACATTAATGTTACATATATGCAACCTTTTTTAATATATTAAAATTACAAAAAATACTGACAGAATTCTACCATTTCAATTTCTTTTGAAACAGATAATATTACCAGAGACAAAAAAAATATTTATTACAGATTAAAAATACATGTATATATAAAAAAAGGTTGCATATTTAATAGTGTATTAATGAAACAATCATAGTGCCACAGTCAAATACCTGTTAATGTGATTTAATTAAAATAAAACCTGTGGATTACTTAATTTTTAAACTAATTTCGACACCGGATTTTGTTTGTGTATTTAACTTCATATATATAGGTAAAGCCAATTAAATTAAACCAAAATTATAATGTATTACTATGATTCATATATTTTCATATTATTTCTCTCAATACTAAGTTTGTTTACAAAATTTATCTAGTTTCGTTGGCTTCACATCTCATCTAACTAAATAACAATATTATTATGTATAAAATGTATTTAATTAATTAAATAAAATCCGGTATCTTTGACAATTATTACTTACCCGAGTTTGATGAGTCCTGCGGGCTTGGCATGATGGGTGTCGGAGGTCCCGGAGGTCCATTTGACCCGGGGGGCGCTCCGTACGCGCCCGGAGAGCCCCCGCTGTAGTTGAGAGGGGCGGAGCCCCCACCAGCGCCTCCGCTTCCGCCTGCCCAGGCTCCACGAGGACCCATACCCATCGGTGGCATACCTGATGAGATTTGTTTCATTGTATTATATGTATAAAGACTTATATAACTATGCACTTATTTGGGTATATATATATATACAGGGTGACTGGTGAATTACTATCAATATTTAAGGAGTATACTCGGTACATGATTCTCATTCGAATTATGTAAAAAAAATAGGTACTTAATTTTTGACCAAATTTCCGTATAAATAAATAAAGTGTTGACACGTTCCAAGTGTTCAAGTGTGGACGCGTGTGGGGGCGTGCTGATACAACACTACGTCACGACACGCGTATGTGTGAGTGTCAGTGTATACCTAATCTGTAGGGTGTTCACACGATGCGTAATTAATTACATAACTTTAGGTTAACTTTACTCAGAAGTTTATTAATATTTATGTTATATTAATTTTTATTTTGTCATATATGATCGTCAACTACCACGTCCTTAAATATTGATAGTAATTCACCAGTCACCCTGTATATATATATATATATATATACCCAAATATGTGTGTGTGTGTTTGTATCTATGTAAGACAATTGCTTTTGATTTGCAACTTTAATCTCTAGCACTAGGAAATATTACAAAAATCACACAATTTCTTCATAATATTCAGGGGCCTTTGCTCCTACACTGTATTCTTTAAATTTAATTATTTTCTACTGCATAATCTATGTAATGTATGTGTGTAGCAAATAAATGGTTTGTAATTAATTCTACATACTATAATATAATTACAATTGGTTGTGTGTAGGAAGTAAATAATCTTTTATCCCTGGGATAATAATCTTTTATTTATCTTTTATCTTTATATACCTGGGGCTTGTGGCGGTGGCCCGCGCATGCCGGCTGCATATGCACCGGGACTCATTGGTCCCATGCCGGGGCGCGGCGGCGTCATTCGAGGCCCTCCCAGCATGCCGCTGCCTCGCTCCAAGGAATTTGACATCATGCCTTGACCTGCATCGGTAAAAATATATATTAATTGTTTTTGGTGTACAAGAGACTGATCAACTTTGTGGTAGCCTAGTGGTCAAAAGGCCTTCTCTCATGCACGAGGGCGCGGGTTCGATCCTGGCCCTGGCAAGTACTAATGTCTTTTTACGAGTTATATGTAATTTATAAGAGTATTTAGACATCACTGATTAATGCATTCCCAAAGAGTGTTGATGTCAGGCAGGCGGCCGTAAAAACAAATAGCCAAAACAATTCACAACATGCAAGGCAGACCCTGGCTGTAGCTGAGAAATTGCCAGGAAGAAGAAGAGACTGATCAACTTGAGTGATACTTCTAATAACTATTATTAACTAAGATGATATGTTAAAACTTGCTGTTAAGATGTTAATACTCATACTAAGGGTATTTGAGCTAAATTATGGAATATTTATGGAAAATATACCAAATGGTGTGTAATGTTGGTACCAAATCTAGGATATAAGGACATACATATTACTTTAATATGTTTATTATACTAAGTATAACAAAATTGTTTCACAACGACTGTATTTCTTTAATGGTCTAAGATTCCACTACAGAATTGGTGTGTTCATCTGTTATTTGTTTTAAAACAAATTTTTATGTTTATTTATAGTTACGAGAATATATATTTACTAGGATGACTGTAAAAATTTTGCTGCCATTATTTTTAAGTAAATTATTTTTAATAACTTTTTGGGAATAAATCCGTTGAAGTGCTTTTTAAATAAAAAAACCCTATACATGATTGTAATTTATATGAAGATTCTAAAAAATCACAGTTGCCATTGTGTGTCAACTCATTGCAGCCAGGTGTAAACAGGTATGATTTCGATTTTTGCTAGGTGTGCAATGGCAACCGTGATTTTTTAGAATCTTCATATAAATTACTATCATGTATAGGTTTTTTATTTAAAAATAAATAAACGGAGTTTCTTCCCAAAAATTTATTAAAAATAATAATAAATTTTGTCAGTGTGTTGAGTAGGTCTATTTTTCATACCTCTAAGTCATATGGTATTTTCTCCCTTAACATTTCCTAATTGACGAAATTTTTGTTTTTTTTTTAATTTAGCATTAAAAAATACATGCAACCCAAAATTTTTACTTTTTTATCACCAACCCCTTGATTTTTTATATGGCAAAACAATGTTTGCTTGGTCAGCTAGTTATTATATATACCTTAGTAAAATTTATTCAATACATTTGTAATTTTAACTATGTGTTACTGTCATAACTCAATGTTGTATACACCTGTAACGGCTAATCATACTGATTGTATATTTTGTGCATATAATATCGTGTTAATTATTATGATAAGTAAATAAAATAAAATAACTTACCAGGTGGACCATTAAAATCATTCCCCATGCCCATTCTGACGGCCGTTCTCGGTCCTCCAGAGTACCACGGACCTATGAAGGGCTGGCCGGTACCCATCAACTGGGGCTGCGGTCCGTGGGGCGAGGGCTGGGAGCCGGGGTGTGGGGCAGGCGGAGAGGGTCGGAGAGACGAGTTCGGGAAGAAACCTGGTGGCATACCTCCGCCACCCATACCTGGAAGATTTATTATATATATCAAGATATTTAAGTGAACAAGTATATGCCTATATATAATATCCTTTCTTGCACTAAAATAAGACAAAATAACATAATAGAAAAAAAGATACAAAAAGGCGGACTTATCTCTAAGTGATCTCTTCCAGTCAATATATGACAATATTTATGTTAATAAGTATATGCCTATTCAATATGAAGTATAATTTATTAATTATTTTATTATAGTCAACTTGTGTGTTTGGTTTCAAATATAATGAATTAAGAGTGTTATATACTTTATAAATTTTTTGTAATAAATTATCAGTTTACACCTGATAAAACTGGATTTTATAGTTAGACCACATTTTTGTAGCAGAAGCAACATTATTTGCACGAAAAGATAAGAAAAGCTATGCCCCAGAAAGTCAATACATATGGAATAAGAACGAATTTGTGATTGTTTTAGTTTAAAATACATCTCGTACCGTCATTAGGCGGCGCCGGGCCTGCGTTGTGACCGATTCCATTAACACCATAACCTGAATTAACGAATCCGTAGTCATGGAACGCTTTAGCTTCAGAGGAGTGTTCGCATGTGTCTCTTCGTTCAGGCGCCGCGCAGTAAAGGTCCCAGAATACACACCACCACGAGTGCAGGAATCCGGGCGGCTCGCCCAGCGTTATGTTCTTTTCCCATCGTATTTCAGAAAGGAAAGTCTGCGCCGCTTTCTGTGCCCCGACGTGCAGTAAGTACTCATACACATAAAGGGCCAACTTCTCCCGTGCCTGAGCGTCCGAAGGTACCGCAGAGCTTTTGCCCTTGGCATACATATCGACTGGAAGCCGACGTTTATGTTGAAATTGTTTATTATTTACATTAACGCTTTATAACAATAAATTCAACTTCACAAAATGTCACTGATCGATGGCGACATTTGGCGTCTGTGGCATAGACAACTACAATTGTTCTCAATTTCGTTGGACACTATTTATCCCTAATGTCAAATTCGTCAGTCTATGATAGCTACAGATTATAAAGACTAAACTGATCATCTACCATAGAGTGATAGTGAAATGAAAAACACGGATAATATTTTGTTAATTATTTAGTGATAGGTTCAATATAACTAAATAAGTCAAAAAAGTTGGTTACACAATGCGATTCAGTTTCGATTCAATATAAATTTCTTATATCTTATTTTTCTTGAACACTAATTATTTAGTACGCACACATTTCTTTTCTTTATATTTTATATTAGTCGCTTTAATTATATAATTCTTCAATTTATATTGAATATAGTAATTAATATTTTTTAATGAATGTATCATGTAATTGAAAACCCGTCAACTCTAGGAAAGTTTGTGCTTGTCTATTCCTTCTTCCTTTTCGTGCGACCGTGTCACCGCGTGGTTTGCAGCGGGGTTTCGTGTTAGAAACAAAATCAAAATGGCTATCAGACCTGTTTATAGGCCCACAATCGTCAAAAAGAGGACGAAAAGATTCATCAGACATCAATCTGATCGCTATGACAAACTTAAGCGTAACTGGCGTAAACCCAGAGGTATGTTCTTATGTTATTGTTCATTTCGATAAAATAATTTTTTTATACTCAACACCGCATGTAAATAATAACTTTATTAAAAAATATATACCAATTTCACCTAAATAATCCAGTTAATAGTATATTTTGTACATATAATCATAATAATTGTTATTCATAATAATTTTTTAGGTTATACAGTAATGTGTTAAATCTTTATACATTTTTATTTCACGCAAGGGCACTCTGTGTTCAACATAATATATATGTGAATAACAATTTGTTACCTTGCTATATAAAATCTATTAATCCTATTCCAAATAATTCATTATAATTATTTGGTCATTATGGTAGAAACAAATCTCAAATCACTTCATGTACCAAGACTATAGGTACATATTGTATATAAATCTTAATTTTTACTAAAAACTTAAAAATTATATATGATATAATGAGACCTAAGATTTTCGCGAGTTTTATTCATTTAAATGAAATTAATATTTTTCGGATAAAATAAAAACTGCTTCCTTCCGACTTATGTAGTTTTTACAAAAATAAAGTCGCTTAGTATAATCCGATAAAATATTAGTTTCATTTAAATAATTGTATATGATATGTAAAACTTTAGATTCTATAATAAAAATACTATCATGTATAATATTCATCAATTAATATCTCTATAACTCCATAGCCGAGTTCTCAATGTTTATTTACCCATAATATTATATTCCAGGTATTGACAACAGGGTACGCAGACGCTTCAAGGGCCAGTACTTGATGCCGAGCATCGGTTACGGATCAAACAAGAAGACCCGTCATATGCTACCCAATGGATTCCGTAAGGTGAGGATATCTTCTATATATTAGGCAGACCCTGGCTAAAGCTGGGAAATTGCCAGGAAGATGATCTTTTATATATATTACCTATATTAATCCTATTTGAAGATGAGTTTAGGTAGACCTAATTTGATTACCAAGATGCATTATTTCAATGTATGTAATTTTTTTCCTTATAAGCTAATTTATATATTAATTATAAAGAAAAATTTAAAGTATTCATATCATAATATTGACTTAGCAATATCTTTAACTGGAAATAGCTAATGCCTTATTTTTGATCAGCCGTTCTCAAAGGTATAATGTATTTATAGAGATTGAAGGGCCAAAAGGTGTTAAGGGACAAATAAATAGGGCCTTTGTAGGCATAGGGGTGATTTGTAATTTTATTTAGCTAGTATAAGTAAGTGTTTTTTAGTAGCTACAAAAATATTTTTTTGTGATCCCACAAAAAAATATTCTCAAAGCGGGTAGCATACAAAATAAGTTTCTGAATCCCAGATCTATTAAATCCTCATATATTATGAAGATTTCCGATAGATAAATAAACACTTTTGGTATCAAGATAGTTTAAGATACAGTCAGTCATCAGCCTATCAGAGCCCACTGCTGAGCCTCTTTCTCACATGGAGAAGGTTTGAGCATTAATCACCACCCTCGCTCAAGACGGCTTGGTGATTTCAAACTTATATGTAAATTATAAGTCCAGGTTTCCTCACCATGTTTTTCTTCATATGTCAGTGATGTCTAAATATTCTTAGTTTAGGATATATATTTAAATTAATAAATTTAAATTTTCTAATATTACTATATATTTCTTAACTAATTGTTAACCCAAGCATAACTATACCGCCTACTCATTCATCTTTTAAGTTTCCTAGTATATTTTTAGTTTTATTTTTTAAATCCTATGCAAGAGCACTCTGTGGTAGCATTAATATGTTATGTACAATTTGTAATCTTGCTATAGAAAACCCATTAAATCCTATTCCTAGTTAGCTTGTTCTCGCTACTTGGTCATAATGATGGAAACATTATTACTTATAAATATGAGAAAGCTCAAAATATAGTATTAATCTTATTTCGAGATGAGTTTAGGCCGACTTAATTTGATAACCAAAATCAGTTTTTTCCTGTAATTCACACTGTTTAATACAAGGATTTATTTTTTAACGCTTTATATGGCTTCATTTACATTGGAATTGGGGTATATTATGCCAATGACAAAGTTTTTATATGTTTAGAGAATTGAACCTAGTGGGACATTATACTGTTGACTCGGATCATTCATTTCAGAGATGATTTCAACAACCGAATGTACGATCTACTACAATATTGGCAATTTCTCATTAAAAAAATATTTATTACTTAAATTTTTGCTAAGATAGCCCGTCAAGACTAATAAAACAAGCCAAACTTAATCACCTCTAAATTTCCAGGTGTTGACTATCACTGTACTTTATTTAAACGATCATAATTAATTCCAGGTCTTAGTCCACAATGTCCGTGAGCTGGAAATTCTCATGATGCAGAACAGGAAGTACTGTGCCGAGATTGCTCATGCTGTCTCCTCGAAGAAACGGAAGGCTATTGTAGAACGAGCCCAGCAGTTGAGCATCCGAGTGACAAATGCTGCAGCCCGCCTCCGCAGCCAGGAGAACGAATAAAATTAATTATATGTTACATATAAAATTGTCTTTTATTTGGGATTAACCGGGGAAGTATAAAAAAAACAAACAAGTATATACACACAAACTACTCTTAAGACTAAATCACATAAATATTATACACGAAATATACATAAATTACAAATACCTAAGTCTAGAACTAAACATTATGGTAACAAAACTATACAATTTGAGGGAGCACTAATGTATAATTCTACCGAAAGAAATATTTAACGAAAAATCTTTTTTGAAATTTAAGGCTAAATTAAAAACATACTGTCAAACTTTATAATATTTGAATGATTGTATAAATAAGGTCACCATTAACTTTATAAATGTTTATTATTATACTAGTTTAAGTTTCCTATGTAAGTGAACTTTGTTCTTATTGGGAAATAAATCATTAAACCTAACCTAACCTAAGTATGCTATTGGCTTAAACATAGTAGTAAGACAACAAGAGTTAATTCTTTAAAAGCATCAGATATTTAATTAAGCAAGTATTATATTAAACTCTATACATATAGTGGTAGAGCCGTCTTCCTGGCAGTTTCCCAGCTGTAGCCAGGGTCTGCCTAAAGGGTGGTAGCCTAGCTGTGGTCAAGTTACTATAGCTCGAACATGGTCTGTCTCGACAAGGGAAGTACCACCCTCACAGAAGATCAGCGTGAAGTATTCTATAATGGTTTTTCGTCTGATGAGTGAGAGAGACGGTTGTTATTTCTCTTTCCCACCCTTTCCTCTCCTTCATAATTTAAGTCTGCACCTATCAGCAATATCTTATTTGTCAAATATCCATGGGCGATGGTAACTATCTTCTATCAAGTAGACTGTCTGCTAATTTGCCGCCTTTAGATAAAAGAAATTGATAATACATATATTAAGATTTATTTTGTTTATGCTATATATGGCTTCATTTACATTACAATTGTGGTATATTATGCAAATGTCAATGTTTTTATATGTTAAAAAAGATTGAGTGAAGTGATAGGAAAGCTGTACTATCGACTCATGTCATTCATCCACGGAGAAGATTTCGACAACCGAATGTACGATCGACTAGAGGTTTTATGTTCAACTAGCTTTCCGCCCGCGTGGAGTTCGCTCATATCGCGTTTCCAAGAGAACCTTTCAAAAGTCTGGGATAAACACTATCCTATGTTCTTTCTCAAGGTCAACTCCATCTCTGTACCAAATTTCATTAAAATCAGTCCAGTGGTTTAGGCGTGAAAGCGTAACAGACAGTTACTTTCGCATTTATAATATTGGTAGGGATATACCAGTTATATGGGGTGGCATTTATATAAATAAATAAATAAATAGGATTTTCAATGTTAGGGCCGATATACGGAACCTATGTCTAAAAAACGGTTTTGTACCCATAAATAGGGAGCTTCACTCAACTGTGAAGGTGCATTTTGTATTATAATTTTAAATAATGTGTAGAGAAAAACAGATTATCTATTGTATTTAAGGCTATTTTAAATCCTCTATATATTTTTACTAGCACCTAAAAACTACGTAAATAAACTAAACGATTTAGTTTTAACTAAAATTTAAACTAAACCTACATAAACTAGTGTTATGTATTTGAAGATTTTGGCAAACAAATTTTCATTGGTTTCTAACTGGTTTTTTCACTCACCGTTTTTATATAATACATTTTAGGATGGACCCGGTACCTGTATGTTGAATCCAAGGAATGCTGAAAAGTTTTGTTTCATTGTCTATATAATTCTCAAATTTGAAATGTTTACAGTTCGTATATTTTTCTGTCTGTAGTCTGGATACAGAATATTATTTATTTAATTTGGAATATACTTATAATATGTTGACAATATCAGACATCTTATAATTTGATAAGCCAAAAACTATAATTTTATATCTAAAAACTAAGTTTCTTACGAACTTCGTACAAACTACGAGTAATTTTCAATCTGAATATTATTGCATTTTTATTCTTACTTCGGGCTCAATAATATTAAACAGTTTCTGTTTTAATATAACTTGTTACATAATATTACCTCGTGGTACTTATGAATTAAAAATGATTTTTTTTGGCGTTGGATTCTTTCAACAGGAATATACATTTGTTTTATCAGCAAAATCGATGAAGAAAGTTACGTAATCGGTTAAATTTTGGTTATTTGCTTAAATTCACTGAAAGTTTCATATATTTAGATAATTTAATTGTTTTTTGGTATCGTATATAATATATTTAGATAATTTAATTGTTTTTATATAGACAGCTATTTTTTTAGCTTATCATACACCAATGCTGAGCAAGGCCTCTTTCTCACATAGAGAAAGTTTAAGCATTAATCACCACGCTTGCTTGATACGGGTTTGTGATTTCAAACTATGTCGATACGATAATAAATTTTCTCGTTATAGATTCGTGTAGAGTTCTTAATTCGTATTAAGGGTACACATTTTGCTTTGAATTTTCGTTTACCACCCATTTTTAAAAAAATCATGTACTATCCCTTAAAAGATTATAAATATAAAGTTTAATTTAATAATCACACAAATTCAAGATTATAATTCGTCCCACAAATAAAAACGTTAACTTTGGCAAAATATTCAACGATTCTAGTGCGAATGGAGCCTTAGCTTAGCAAAAATGCAAATGTTTGTTTCTCTTTCACGGAAAATAAACAGATTTTAATGAAACTCAGAATAATATATAGGTTATATAATGTATGCCTTAATTCCCGCGGAATATATTATCCTTACCACAAGATTGTACCGTTACACTACATCCAATAACTTTATATACAGGGTGACTGGTGAATTACTATCGATATTAGAGGACGTGATATTTGACGATCATATATGACAAAATAAAAATTAATATAACATAAATATTAATAAACTTCTAAGTAAAGTTAACCAAAAGTTATGTAATTGATTACGCATCGTATGAACACCCTACAGATTAGGTATACACACACACACACACCCACTCGCGCGCGACGGCGTGTTGTTGTATCAGCACGCCGCCGCACGCGTCCACACTTGGAACACTTGGAACGTGTACACACTTTATTTATTTATACGGAGATTTGGTCAAAATTTAAGTACCTATTTTTTTTACATAATTCGAATGAGAATCATGTACCGAGTATGCTCCTTAAATATTGATAGTAGTTCACCAGTCACCCTGTATATAAAAAAGGCATGTTACTTATAACTCAAGAAGGGCGATACGGGTTTGGATAAAAAATTAGCGGAGAGATAGCTTAGCACAAAAGAAAGGACATAGGGTACCTACTTTTCATGCGATTGAAAGAGAATAAAAAATTAATTGAACGAATCCAAAATCTGCCAAGTCTAAAAAGGCTGTATGCTCGTTTTGCTCTCTTTAGCATACAAATAAAAAACAGTTATGTCTAATTTACACATACCTATAACTGTGGCAATATATTTTCTTATAGGAAACATATAAGAGTCAGTTTCATCCCTACTAATATTATAAATGCGAAAGTATCTCTGTCTGTCTGTTATGCTTTCACCCCTAAACCACTGAACTGATTTTAATAAAATTTGGTACAGAGATAGATTTGACCTTGAGAAAGAACATAGGATAGTTTTTATCCCAGACTTTTGAAAGGTTCTCTTGGAAACGCGATATAACCGAACTCGACGCGGGCGAAGCTGCGGGCGGAAAGCTAGTAGTATAATAAATTAGTAGTTTTCGGGAATACATTAACGAGAGTCAGCGGCGCCAATTGCATTTTTTTTATATAAATGGATACGAGTCGTTTTTAGCCTTTTCGTTACAAATTTATATTTTAAACATACATAGAGTTGAAATAAACCTAAAATTTTAAATGAACTACAAATGCGTAGATAAAGTTTATCTAAATATTTTTTTCCTCTTTAATAATGTATTTGAACATTTATCGTAGGTACCTACATATATATCTAGTATTGGTTTTGACTTGTTATTGTGGATCGCGTGTATTTGCGTTATAAGTTTTGCTCAACCGAACTACTTATTGTCGAGAGATGGACAGATTTATGCAATAGTTAATATACACAATAATTTTTACATTGTACTTTATCTTAAAAGAAATCTAAAGTTCTTGGAATTTGAGTTATGATATATTCTTCATGCTTTGAATGGTTTTTAATTCTTAAACTCATACTTAATTGTTTCTTTATACTAAATTAAATTAGTTTTCTACCTGGCTATTTCCCCGTTTTTAGCCAGGGTCTACTTTACATGATGTGAATAGTTTTAGCTAATTGTTTTTACGACCGGTCGCCTGCCTCACATCAACCCCCTTTGGGAATGCATTAATCAGTGATGTCTAAATACTCTTAGAAAGTACATATGACTCGGAAAAATCATATTGGTACCTACTTGCCAGGGTCGAACCTGCGCTCTCATGCTCTCAAGCGGGCCTTTTAACCACTAGGCCACCACTGATTAAATTATATTAGTATTAACATATTATTCAATGAGAAACGGGAAACGCATCGTATGTAGTGACAATGGACACTTGTAGTACACATTAATTGTCATATATCAGAAAATAAAATTATTCTTTGTGGCTTTATCTCTATTAATTAATAAATATAACGAATATTTACATTAAAAGGAATAAAAATAAATTAGATTTAGGTATATTTAAAACTCAATTATGTCATTTTTTTAAATTAGACATTATTGTATTAATCCATCCATTTTGCCTGATCATTGGCAAACGTTCGGGTTATATTTTTTATTTTTTACGATGCACGGACCCGTACCAAGTACGGCTAGTTAGCTTTGATATACAGGATGTTTAGAATAAAATAATTATTATAATAAACCTACACCTAGGTCGCAAGTCCCAGTCACTGTTGAAGCTCCTCTCTACAACGATGGACCCGACACACGCACCGTGAATACATTGAATGATGAGAGGTTTCGTCTCATTATGATTTTCCTAAGTCTCATCGTCACTACATACGAAACATTGCCCATTTCTCATTCAATAATACGTTATTTATATGTGAATATTTATCAACGAATAACTATTAAATCTACGTATGTAGTGTGTTTTGCAAACTTAGAATAAGTTACTAAGATGATTGAAGAAGATAGAAGTTTGATAATTGTAGGGCTTTATTAGATAGAAGGTACACATCTCGTCTGCCCGTGATCACGGTTGTAAAGTAACCGAAACGACGGGAGTATCTAGTGTATAATCAAAAATAAAAATCGCGTAGTAAATCCGAAAATATTCGTCATCGTCATCAGCCTATCAGCGCCCACTGCTGAGCAAGGCCTCTTTCTCACATGGAGAAGGTTTGAGCATTAATCACCACGCTCGCTCAAGACGGGTTGGTGATTTCAAACTTATAATTGTGAAACTATAAGTCCAGGTTTCCTCACGATGTTTTCCTTCCGAAAATATTAGTTTCATTTAAATTAATACTCACAAAAATCTCATTATAGAAGGTACAGTCCTCAATAAATTCAGATATTTTAAAGAAAAAAATTACAAGCATTATATTTAAATCCTACTAATATTATAAATGCAAAAGTTTGTTGCTCTTTAACACAAAAACCACTAAGCCGATTGTAATAAAACTTTGCCATAATATAGCTCAGACATCAGAATGAGATATAGGTTATACTTCATCCCCAAATTCCATGTATTTATAGCAGGATCAAGTCATAAGTAAGGAATGTATGACGTCACGTGACACATACTATAGACATTACTGAGAGTTAGTTTAAGTTATTTAATTCACAAAAAACAGTAATAATATATAGTAACAACTAAAAATATGAAGCAATCTTGAAGAAAATAATATATATGGTTTATTTATATATACTATATAAGAAGTTAATTTTTTAAATGGACATTATTTCGTTATTTTTAACAATATGAACATGCTGTATATAGAAAATATTTTCCCGTCACAATAAACGAAAATTCATGCGAAAATATCACAGGGAATTGGTTACGCGAGTCGCGTGATTGGGTTTTAGTTATTTTTAAGTTAAATCCTAAATCTAGTCTAGAATTTGATTATTACCTGTTCAGGGTCTGTGATCAGAAATATCAAGATTGTCATCAAAATTGGGTAAACAGGGTAAGTATTCCAATGAAGGAGATTTAATTTTTTGTTTTTAAGAAGCTATTCCTACTAATATTATAAATGCCAAAGTAACTCTGTCTGTCTGTCAGTTACGCTTTCACGCCTAAACCACTGAATTGATTTTAATGAAATTTGGTACTGGGATAGAGTAGCCCTTGAGAAACAACATAGGATAGTTTTTATCCCAGACTTTCGAAAGGTTCTCTTGGAAATGCGATATAACCGAACTCCACGCGGGCGAAGATGCGGGCGGAAAGCTAGTTCTTCATAATTAGTTTATTTTTTACTGCTAATTTTCCTATGCTATCTTAAAATAGAGATTTAATGTAATTAGAAGATGAATTTAAAGTCATCTATATCTCTCTATTATAGATTAGATTTTGTCTAAATTTCATTATTATCTAACTATGAAAGATTTTAACTATATAAATACTTCATTGTGTAAGTCTTAAATTGACAGTTTAAGTAGACGATTTCGCTGCCCAACGAAAATTAAAGATGCAATTAAGAAAAGACATAAAAACAAGATTATTAATAGTGAAATAGTGAAAGAAGAGCTAATGACAATTTTTTAGTACAGGTAATTGAAGAACAAATGAAATGATATTGTATGTATATAAACGCCTGATTAAAATAAATAGCAATACTCTATCGTACGTAAATGCGCTATAATAAGACGAGGCGTTACATACACTAAAGTATCATATATATATTTTATTTTTGTCTGTCTGTCTGTTTGTACCGTAATCTCTGAAACGGATTGACCGATTTTGACGGAGCTTTTATTCGAATGCAGCTGAAGTAATAGGGCTACTTTTTTTCTACCAAAATTAATAATTATCACTTCGTGATTGGGAAGTGAGAAGCATGATGCTCTTAAAAGTTTTTTCATTGTTTTTTTATTCTGATAACAGCTAGTTGTATAATAAATTGTATCAATTTTAAATGGATTAGTTATTTTATTAGTAACAGTCATAAGAGAGACGAAACCTCTCATCATTCAATGTATTCACGGTGCGTGTGTCGGGTCCATCGTTGTAGTGAGAGGAGCTTCAACAGTGACTGGGACTTGTGACCCAGGTGTAGGTTTAAGGGACCCCTATCTAACGTTTAACGCTCACCTCCACTGTCCAAGCTCCTCTCTCTACTTAACCAAATTTGAAAAAAAAAACAAATAGCCAAAACTATTCACAACATGTAAGGCAGATCCTGGCTATAGCTGGGAAATTGCCAGGAAGAAGAAGTTTGTACTTTAATCAATTAAAGAGGAGGGTTGCATATAATATAATTTTCTTTTAACAGATTTAAGAGGATGGCGCTAAAAATGTTGCAAACTGCCCACAAAATGACCAGAAATCACAGCGTTAGATTTTCCAATGATGAAATGCCGAGGTTCAAGTCACTTGTGAGTATCATTAATACACAATACATTAGAAAAGAAACGATTTAACTTTATTGTATTAAATATTATGAAAATGAGGACTTATAAGTGAAGATTAAATAATATATACTGTTTGCCTTTCTACGGTAACTGAGAGATTTAGGAAATAATGGCTTATAAGTTCAAATTTACATGATGTGTGGTGATTTTGATATTCATAGATTGAAAAACTATAAGCGATTTAAAAGAAGAGTAAATTATATTATATTGCGATTTATTTATCAATTTCAACCATATGTCATTGTTAGTTTTCTCCCAATTTGTTGGTACTATTTGGTCTTATTGACATCACCATCATCAGTCTATCAGAGCCCACTGCTGAGCCTCTTCTCACATGGAGAAGGTTTGAGCATTAATCACCACACTCGCTCAAGACGAATTGGTGATTTCAAACTTATAATTTGAAATTATAAGTCCATGTTTCCTCACGATGTTTTCCTTCATCTGTCAGTGGTGTCTAAATACTCTTATAAAGTACATATGACTCGGAAAAATCACATTGGTACTTGCCAGGATCGAACCCGAACCTTCGTGCATGATAATGACTTATTTTATACAAATAAATAAGTTATATTTATTTGATAATTCTTTCCTAGGATTCACCAGAGATGAACAATGGTTTTACCCAGAGCATAGACTCCGGAGCGCCAAGCCCTGACTGTGGTTATCAGCCAGCTGCTCAGAGGTATCGACTAAACGAACAACGTAAGTTACAATATATATATACATATATATATACATACATACATATATCTATCTTATATATATAAAAATGGATTGCTGTTCCTTAGTCTCGCTAAAACTCGAAAACGGCTGAACCGATTTTGCTAATTTTAGTCTTGAAATACTCCTGGAAGTCCAGGGAAGGTTTAACAGTGAGAAAAATTGGAATAATTGCCGGGAAAACCCTAACAACAGCCCTTTTCTATTTCCCATACAAACGTTTTTTTTTTGACATTAGATTTGACAACTAACTAATATGTCAATCATTCTGTTTGATTGAAACGGGAAAAACCTTATTATTTATGGCCTCTAAGACGGAATAGAGTTCGCCTGGTCAGCTATACCTACATATATTACTCCTGACCAAACTAATGCGGATGAAGTCGCGGGCAAAAACTAGTATTATTATATATTTTATATGATCTAGGCATGAAATTCCTTTCATTCCGCAGGTATAAAGCTGCTAACAGCCATAAACCAGGTTGTACAGCAAAGAGCTGAGTTGGAAGCGAACAGAACCACTCTCTCCAATATGCTGGAGGAAATGAGAAGGAAATTGAAGAGGAGAGTTGAGGAATGTCATTTAGAGAAGAAAGAGAAGATGAAGGTTTAAAGCTTTATGAATTTTAACGCTCCCTTTCATAGACAGTGCATGAAATATATATAAACATATATCTCAAACCATAGATGCAAATAAGCACTGCATACCCTACCCATATAACAACTAAACCTGTATTGTTTAATTCTTACTTACATGCTTTTAATCATACATTACGAAATACAAATGTTTACAGACATTTAAAATGACATTTGATTCACGATTTGTTTAAACTGCCATCTATCAATGTAAAAACGAAACCTTTTCGATCGGCCGCTGCTAACTGCTAGCGCCGCTATGCAGCCAACCACACTCTGCTTATTTTCCATATAAAAATTCTCAAGAAGGATCTACAAATCTCGTGTATGTATACAGGAAATGTTTGTATGTGTTTGTAAAACTTACACTTGCATAGTATTCGAGAAGCACTGATTATTTTGTATTGTTTAAAATCTCGTAGAAAGTCCGTTAATTGTCAAACGAAACGCGGCTCTCTGATTGGTCGGTAAACTGAATTATGTTAAGTATTAAATATTGTCATTTGTCTTTCTAAGCGCAAGTGAATACGTTTAAATTAGTTAAATAGTAAACAGTAGATTAATTTATTATTTAATTATAGCTGAGTATTTTCAATATCGTCGATTAATAATAAAATTAAAATAAGTGTAAAATCAAGTTGTGTGACCAGTTGAGTATGAACTTAAAGAAAGGTAATGTTATTCGTTTAAACAAAAAGTATTATGATAGTTTTAATTAGTTAGCAGGTTGTGCACACACAAATAAGTTATTTTGTTTGCCTTGTTTGTTGTTTTCAAATGATAATAATAAAAATGTTTGAATCTCCTTTGGATATTCCTATTTAAATAACTTTTATAAAGCTGTGATGAACAAATAGTTCACAGAAGATCTCGTCTGCCCGTTAAAAATAATAAAAATATTTGTTTCATTTAAAATTTAAATCAATACTTGCGAAATATATTATTACTATCAATGTTTTGGAGGAGGAGATGATGAAAATTTGTATTTTATTTTTCAAACATTCTGCTTACCCTACCCCAAATCTCTGTGCATTCTGATATCTCAGTCAGAAATTAGTTATTTCTACCTGGATCTTAATTTTTTTATGATAATTAATTTTTCTATCTACCCTCTGTGTTCAACGCCAATATAGTGTAAGATATTTCCCAAAGAGGGTTGATGTTAGGCAGGCGGCCGGTCGTAAAAAAATAGGCAAAACTATTAAATAACCAAAAGTGGCTGTAGTGTATGTATCTATACAATAGATATAATACACTGTCTCATGTACCACATTGGGGGGTGTGGCATGCGCTCGGCAGACTCACGACTAGCGTGCAGCAGAACGGGGACGTGCGTCGCTCTAGGGACTAGTTATACTTACATGTAGGACCAGGGATCCTACACTGGCTAAAGCTGGGAAATGGCCAGGTAGAAGCAGATATAGAGTAACATATGTTATAGGCTTTAAAACAAGCCAACCAACGTCTGGAGCGCGAGAAGTTCAGCATCGTGACAGAGCTGGAACATCTGCAGAGGCACCTGGAGAAGGAGCAAGCTCATCACGTGCAGCATGCAAGGAATGCAACCGTTCAGGTATATTTGACAACTATATGTCTCTTGATTAGTGATGTAAATTGATTTTAGTAAAATACAGGGTGACTGGTGAATTACTATCGATATTTGAGGACGTGATATTTGACGATCATATATGACGAAATAAAAATTAATATAACATAAATATTAATAAACTTCTAAGTAAAGTTAACCAAAAGTTGTGTAATTAATTACGCATTGTATGAACACCCTACAGATTACTCTACACTACACACTCACACACACGCGCGCGCGGCGTGGTGTTGTATCAGCACGCCGTCGCACGCGTCCACACTTGGAACACTTGGAACGTGTACACACTTTATTTATTTATACGGAAATTTGGTCAAAAATTAAGTACCTATTTTTTTTACATAATTCGAATGAGAATCATGTACCGAGTATGCTCCTTAAATATTGATAGTAATTCACCAGTCACCCTGTATATTTGTATTTTTATTATATTTTAGGGAAACAAACAATAAGATAAACTTATGGGATATGAATATAAAAAAATACATATATCAGCTAAGTTTCCACTGGTAATATATAGTATTTGAAATGTTATGGTTTCTTTATTTTCAAAGAAAATTATATTTTGGAATATTCCTTAAAAAGATATTACGTTTTACGGACAAGACTACGAGGGTATTTTAATTTTAATTTTTTCTATTACTGAGATAAGATGAAAGTGTCTGTTTAAAATATTCTCGCCAAAATCTTGGATATTGATTCCTCGAAGTCATTTCTTTAATGCAATTTCGACAATTTGTTTATATTGGACATAAAGAAGTAATTCAGTATTAAAATATATTACATTATGTTACCATTGTCATTATTAAAGTATAAAAAGATAGAAATGGGTAATATATAATAATCTCTTTGATTTAGAACACAGTGTATCTTTAAAAAAAATATATGACACGAAGATTTATAGTTTTATTAGCATAATATGCACTCACAAAATAAAAAAGCACCAATTCTATATGTAATATCAATTAATTAGGTCCATCTTCTATCTCACCAGGCTATCCAAGGTGTGACAAGGACAGAGCATCTCTTCGCTCCGTGCTCCATGTCGGAACTACCGAATATTGTCAGCAGAAATGTAGCCAAGAATGCACCTTCGAAGATCGTAAGTGGATGCAGAGGAATTAATAAATTCTTAGGCTACCAAAAAGTCAAAAAGACTTAATTCCAATCTTAATACTAAGTCGTCATCATCCTATCAGAGCCCACTGCTGAGCCTCTTCTCACATGGAGAAGATTTGAGCATTAATCACCACACTTGCTCAAGACGGGTTGGTGATTTCAAACTTATATATAAATTATAAGTCCATGTTTCCTCACGATGTTTTCCTTCATCAGTCAGTTGTGTCTAAATACTCTTATAAAGTACATATGACTCTGAAAAACACATTGGTATTTGCTAGGATCGAATCCGCGCCCTCATGCACGAGAGGCGAGCCTTTTAACCACTAGGCCACCACTGACTTTTTTTTAAATTTTAAATACAACAGTAATTACAAAGTAATACTACCTATGTTATATAAATGTATAACTCTTTGCCTCTAAGTGTTGTCAATTCAAAATCTCTAAATATATTTAAAAAAACTATTAAGAACCCATATATTAGAAGATTTCACTGATCTTGTTTAATATCACTATTATATTAATTGTAATCCTAATAGTAGTTATAATTTTTATAATTTCCTTTGTAAGTAAACTTTGTTCTTTTTGGAAACAAACTTCTTTAAATCTATGTTGTTATCTTTCAGGCTGACAATAAGTTAGCTGCTGTTCGCTTGATGCGTGACATAGCTGATCTAAGACAGCGCGTTGCTGCTGTAGAGGCGAGACTTGCCAACGAACTCAAAGTAAGACAAAAAGCTTCCCCTAGAAATAGCACTATATAGTATAAAGCAATTTTTTTCAAAGTAATCGATAACGCAGTCTTCTAGGCTGTGCAAGCCTAAGAGGTGCCAGCAGGGGATAAAAAATGGTAGCATTGTGTAAAGGCTTGGAGTAAGATTTGTAATTTCATTTCGCTAGCATAAGTAATAGTAGTTTTTCAACAGGTGGACGAATAGGGGCCCTAAAAACTTTATTCAGAAAAGTTATTAGAAAAAATAAGTTTTTTAAACCCTTGATATAAAGTAGTATAAAAAAACAAATGAGAATCGATCCCGCACCTTTTATAGTTGAAATTTTTTAGAAAAGCATTTTTAGCCGAAGGTTTCTATTCAAGTATTGCTGAATGAATGATAATTGTACAGAGTTATATAATTTTAAGGTATATTTTATCCATGTATCCATCAGCAGTGCTGTCCATCGTGACAGAGACATTTTATTTATATACTAGCTGCGCCCCGCGGTGTTACTCGCGGATTTCTGGTGTAAAGTAACTTATATGTTATTCCTGGAAGTCAGCTTCCTGTATACAAAATTTTATCAAAATCGATTCAGTTGTTTCAGCGTGAAGAAGTAACAAACATACACACTCACAAACTTTCGCAATTATAATATTAGTTGGATCTGTATATATGTATTGTCTCAAGTTATATGGGTAGAAGTGCTACCAAACAAAATTTCTGCAGACATAGACCAAAAATCTGCGATATATTTGCAGCGTATTATCATAATATTTCGGGCCCCACGATACAGACCCTAGTGTGGGGTCCAAAGATAATCAAAAATTTAAAATTGCTAAAACCATAATGCACCTCAACCAATGGAAAACTTTGTAATATATTAAGTTTAAGAAGATTATTGTGTCATATGTTAATCTATTATGTAAGCATTGTGTTTTTTCGATAAAGTTTATTATTGAAACTAATATTTTTCGGATTTTACTTCGCGTTTTATTTTTGATTAGAAAACTACGGCAGACGAGATATCTGACCCGTGATCACGGTTGCTGAAAAGTAGCCGAAACGTCGGGAGTATGTAGTTTTCTAATCAAAAATAAAACGCGAAGTAAAATCCGAAAAATATTAGTTTCATTTAAATGAGTACTCGCGAAAATCTTAGATCTCATTAAAGTTTATTATTATTATTATTATAATTATCGAGTAGTGTATTTCCAGCGTAAACGGCAGGCTGAGGTCGACATTGTGCGATTGAGGAAGGAGCTCTCTTCAACCAAGAGTTGCATGGCTTCTCTTAGACTACCAGGAAGAAAAACATGCTCCAAATTCGTCTAATCATGTAATTTAGATCAATTTAACACAAGTTTCTATAAAATATATGATTTATTTCATTTTCAATGTTTGGACATTCTAAAAATCTAGATTTTTTCCAAATATTTATTCAGATATTTTGTTTCATAAATTCTGTTTGAATATTGTTTTTGTGACAAAAAATGTGTGAATAGGACAATGTGTGTAGAAGTTTTTAAATAAAATTTAATATGTATTGTTTTTATTATTTGTGAAGTCGAAGTTTTCTTTATAATGTATTATTTTTTTGCGATGAATATATATTAAAGCGATGGTTTTAATTTTAAATATATTATTTATCTCTTATATTAGAACCAGTTATTGCCAGCTTCTTTCCTGGTCCATTAAAACCTCTTTTATATACTCTTTATAATATATATGAGCTTGCAAACGATTTTTCGAGAACTACTTTATCAAATGTTGATTTAGAGACAATGGGAGAAATTCAGAATAGTGCATTTTCCATTTAAAAATCTTAATAGTGCCTGGAATCCATCCTTGTGGAAGAAGTGAATCTTCGAAATGTTGGAATGAAAATATGAAGGAAAAGAAATAGATTTTTATTAAATTTTTAATGTTTCTTTAAAATAAACTTTATTAACATAACTTACAAGTCACAATTGATTGTCATGCATTCGGCATTTCCTCACGCTTTGTCTCTTTTTATCCACAAGTTGTGTCAAACGTTTAACGCAACCTTGTCAGAAGTTTGCATAAGAAGTTTAACTTCGAAAAATATATTGAATTTCAATCTTTAATTCAATGACTAATAGACATATGTCAAAATAGTAGTAAAAGCAAAAACATCGCATTTTTAGAAATCGACAAAAATGTCTCCTAAGTTTCTTCTTATAACGTTGCCTACTTCCTTTTATGTAAATATGTATATAGGAATAAGTAGTTAGTCTTTTAATCTGAGATTCTTTTAATATTAAGATTCATAAAAAAAAAGATGGTAGAAGATTATACTATGGATTTTATTTCACCTCAAAACTTCGAGTAAAACTAAGCTATACAGGGTGACTGGTGAATTACTATCAATATTTAAGGAGCATACTCGGTACATGATTCTCATTCGAATTATGTAAAAAAAATAGGTACTTAATTTTTGACAAAATTTCCGTATAAATAAATAAAGTGTTGACACGTTCCAAGTGTTCAAGTGTGGACGCGTGCGGCGGCGTGCTGATACAACACTACGCCGCCGCCGCGTCTGTGTGAGTGTATGTGTATACCTAATCTGTAGGGTGTTCATACGATGCGTAATTAATAACATAACTTTTGGTTAACTTTACTTAGAAGTTTATTAATATTTGTGTTATATTAATTTTTATTTTGTCATATATGATCGTCACAAATCATGTCCTCAAATATCGATAGTAATTCACCAGTCACCCTGTATTATAGTCGTAAAATTATTATTTTGATTATCGTCAAACAATAAAATCATATAATAGCAGTCGCGTGTCCATTTCCCGTCAGTTTTACATAATTCGTTGCCATCCTTTGGTTCACACGGTTATGTTACATCGTAAACCGTTACTTTCCTTGTTCCAGCTCCATAATTTATTGATGTACAATCGCGAAGAGTACTTGAGAAATTAAAATCAAGCTTTTTAATACTTTGGATTATACCTGAGATATAAAACGACCAATTGAGCCTTTTATAATAAATACTAGGTACCCGCCCCAGCGGTGGCCTAGTGGTTAAAATTTCCGCCTCTTATGCACGAGGGCGCGGGTTCGATCCTGGCCCAAGTACCAATGTGATTTTTCCGAGTGAATGAACTTTCTAAGAGTATTTAGATATCTCTGATTAATGCTAATTCCCAAAAAGAAGGTTGATGTCAGGCAGGCGGCCGGTCGTAACAACAATTAGCCAAAACTATTCACAACATGTAAGGCAGAAACTGGCTAAAGCTGGGAAAAATTGCCAGGTAGAAGACTAGGTACCCGCCCCAGCTTCGCATTGGGAATTTACAAAATATTATAAAATAGCCTATGTTTTAAAACTTAGGGAGAGGGCGGCTGATGCTCCCTCCCCCCGCAGGCGACGTACGGGGGTGCGACGGAGGCAATTCCTACGCCTCCAATAGCACCCCTGTGTTCCGGGCTGGGGTCGGCGTGGTAACCCGGCCCTATTGAAAGTCCGGCGTCGTCGGGGTGGTCCTAATTGCCGGGATCGCCCCCATTCTCCGAGGGAGTAAGTCCGGTCTTTGCCAGGACCGGCCAGTCGCTGGTGTGCCCTGTCGCTGACAGATCCGGGGTACACCGACATAGCGGCCGATGGCTTTCGCAGTGGTTTTAGTGAGTAGGGGCCTGCCCAGGCCGAGCCTCACACATCCCTTCCGGCCCCACCAAGGCCGGTTGGACGGCTCGTAAAAAGAGTTTCCACTACGTCATCAAAAAAAAAAAAAAAAAATGTTTTAAAACTTACTTTTTGAGTAAAATGAAGACAAACAAAAATTTCATCATCTTTCTTCGTTAAACGTGTTTTAAGTTTGAACTTAGAAAAACGGTATGTTTTTATGTTAATAATAGTTTTTTCATGAAAAAAAATTTCAAATTTTTTGTATACAACATTCATGACGTGATCATGTGAAAAGGTGTATATAATTCTAGTGTAAGTGTGTATGTCACTAAACTCTTAAACGACTGGACCGATTTGAATTAATATTTTGTATGCTAGATGGTTTAGATTCACAAATCAGCTCAACAGATGGCGCTGCAGTCGATATTTAGGTTATTTGAAATGAAAAGACTGCAACGTTACTATACATATGTATTGTTTTACATACTTTAAACATTTTTCTCTAACTGCAACTCTGTAAGTAGCCGTTACAAACTTAGTTATTTATAAAAACAAGTTTTGTCGAGAATGTAACTTGGAATTAATTTAAATTATAAATATGAAAATCTATTGACATTTATCTATCTGTATTGTGATCTTTTGGATTTTTATTAAAACGATCTATTAATTTTTATATTTTAAGATTTCAAAACTTTCGTCAGAATTAATTTAAATGAAACTGATATTTTTGGATTTACTACGTTTTCTTAAATTATTATTTAACTCCATACTCATCTGTTGTAAAGTAACCGAAACGTCGAGAGTAAGTATATAGTTTAAAACAATAGAAAACAGAATTATAGTCAAAAATATTAGTTTTTTTTATTATATTTCTGTTAGCTCTTCTTCACTCGACTGTACCCACGTCAATTATTATAACCAAAGGCTACCGTCTTTGTTTAAGCAACCCTTCATCATAATTTATTACTTCGTATAACTCTGATTTCTCCTTGGCAATGGTTCCAAATCAATCCTGTTTCATTACGCTACATTAACTTGAATAATAGCCTACATACGTTTTCACTTTGAAGCAATGTTTTTTGCCTAATATTTTGTTATGTACGAGAAACTAAGGATTCTTTTCTACCTTTTTCTTGCTTTGTTCATACCTTATTTGCTCCAGGAATATATTTCAGCGATACTAATAAATAAAGTTAAAAATTGCGGTTGTAAATCTTGTTACGAAAGATGAATGTACCGATTCTGTTTTTATTAATTTTTATGTTGAATTTGGTGTGTGTTCTATCTGAATTGAGTCTTCGTTTTGGTGAGAAAAACAATGAGAGTTATAAAAAATATTTTCATAACTATAAAGACATATTAAGAATTAACATGTCCATTTTGTTAAACCAAAAAATTTCTCAGATTTCTATTCTTGTTGGGACATTTAAATTTTTAGATTAAATTTATCAATTCGATAATTAGTTTTGGCCACAGAAATATAGTTTTTAATTCTTTTATTAAAACATATGCAACTATGTCTGGTAGTTCGACTATTTTGATTTTTACGTGTCGCAAAACTTTTAGTTTTTATAACGGAAAACCACGAGCCAGAACTCTCTCAGGAAATATCTCAAGCAATAAAAATGACTGAAGAAAATGAACAGGAGCTTGTGATAAACGAAGAAGTTATACAACTAGACAGAGAAAATGCTGAAGAAAGTTACAATAAATGTAAGAAAATAGAAATATTAAGTAGGTTTAAAGAAGTTTATTTCCAAAAAGAACAAAGTTCGCTTACAAAGGAAATTTTAAAAATTATAACTACAATTAAGATTACAAATAATAAACAGTGGCTATATTAAACAAGATCAGTGAAATCATCTAATATATGGGTTCTTAATCGTTTTTTAGATATATTTAGAGATTTTGAATTTACAACACTTACTTAGAGGCAAAGAGTTATACAGCTGTGTTCCTTCAAATGAAATAGTTTTAATGCCGTACTTGGTTCGAGTTTTAGGTGTTTAAGTAAAAGGGATATGAGAAAAAAAATAGATTGTACTTATGTACATTAGAAGTTATAAGATAAATATAAAAATTAATCAAAAAGATTTTATTTAAATAACTAATATACAACTTGAATATAGTTATGTATTAACATGCCACCTAGAACTAGCTTCACGATGTCGCTTCATAATTTTCCATCGCACCATCTTCAAAAATTTGCACTAAAACAGATTTTTTTCATATACAAGGAACAAATATATGGGGTCAATAAATAACTATTTTGTTTCAGTATGTTCTTTCATATCGAAAGGTGTATCTGCGATAATTGACCTTTCTTGGACGCCATGGGAAATGGCTGAACAGCTATCAGAAAGTACTGGAGTGCCAATAATCCATACTTTATTAGGTCCACAGCAACTTGTTTCAGCTTTGGACAGCTATTTGGATTCAAGGAACGCTACGGACGCAGCGTACCTGGTTGAGAGCGAAAGTGGTACTTTGATTTCATACGAAAATTTTGGCACAAAAAATCCCTACTAATATTATACATGATAGTAACTCTGCCTGTTTGTTACGCTTTCACGCCTAAATCACTGAACTGATTTGAATGAAATTTAGTACAGATATACAGTTGTACTTGAGAAAGAACATAGGATAGTTTTTATCCCAGACTTTTAAAAGGTTCTCTTGGAAACGCGATATAACCGAACTCGACGCGGGCGCAGCTGCGGGCGGAAAGCTAGTATGTCATAAAATCATTATTTAAGCAGTTAATTCTAAATCCTCTGTATGGAATACCAATTAGAATTACCTTTCGTGATTACAAATAGATAGTTTAAAGAAACTTTTGTGGTCATATTATTAATGCTGTTATTTCTAGATGCTGATAAAATTCTATATGAAGTCCTGGGCAGATCTCACGTCCGTGTGTGGGTGCACGCGGGACTAACTAGAGAATCAGCGAAAGCTTTGAGAAGCATGCGTCCTGAACCAAATTTTTACGTTATCGTTGGAAACGAGGAATTCGTAATGACGACCTATAAGAGAGTAAATATTTTGGTATATGTATAAATAAATAAAATGTAGTTTTTATAAAGGATATACTTATCCAAAGTAGTACGTCGTAACATATTTTTAAATATTTCTCTGTGTTTTTCGTCTGATATCTGAAAAGCGTAGATCGATTTTGAAGAATCTTCTTTGCATAAAAAATGAGATCCAAGGCTTTCGCGAGTATGCATTTAAATAAATGTAATATTTTTCGGATTATATCGCGAGTGTTTTAACATTGTATTAAGTATATTCTCCCGAAGTTTCGGGAGATAAATAACAAGACCAACTGACAGACATTTACATCTCGTCTTAATGATCATGGTTGCTGTAAAATAACGAAAACATCGGGAGTATGTAGTTTAAAATAATAAAATACGTGAAGTATAATCCGAAAAATATTACATTCATTTAAGAGACAAAAATATAGGCGTTTTATAAATCTTTTATATTATGAGGTTTGCCAAATAGACTATAAACATTATGTGAATTGTCTTCTTCTATCTGGCAATTTCCCAGCTTTAGCCAGGGTCTGCCTTATTGTAAATAGTTTTGGCTAATTGTTTTTACGACCACCTGTCTGACATCAACCCTCTTTAGGATTATATAAAGTTATTGACATATAAGAAATAATTGAATATTTTTCAGGCAGTTAAAGAAAAATTGGTTAAACGCAAATTTCGCTGGAATATAATACTTACTGACTATAAGACGGTCGATCCGTCGATGTTAGTATTGCCAAGTTTCATCCTGCAATCGGATTTTGGGGAGTGCTGTAAGTTGGCGGGATTGAAAGAAGATTGTATTTGTCCTTCTAATATGCAGGTAAATTTAATTTTATCTCTGGCAATAATAATAAATTCTGATTGCTAGATAAGATTTTTTGATATTTATGGTTTAAAAGTTTAGAGTCGATGTATTTTTTTTAAGACTTATGACCAAAAAAAATTTAAATCAGTGTGATTTAGACCACAAAAAAATTCTTTCGCTCCATATACCTATATATAAAATGTATATGCATGTTTATATATGTATAGTACAGACATGTATATACACATATTAATTTTGTACAAATATTTGAATTCATTATGGATTACTATTGATAAATTAATATTTTAAAATAGATATTAATTTTTTATTTTCATTACATTCATCATCGGATACATCAGTAATTACTGTGGTCGATTGTAAGACCGAAATAATAGGCATATGATATGAGAAAGACGATACATGTTTTCCAATGAAGATTCCAAGAAAACTAAAAACCAACTACTGACATATATACAGGGTGGCTGGTGAATTACTATCAATATTTAAGGAGAATACTCGGTACATGATTCTCATTCGAATTATGTAAAAAAAGTAGGTACTTAATTTTTGACCAAATTTCCGTATAAATAAATAAAGTGTTGACACGTTCCAAGTGTTCCAAGTGTGGACGCGTGCGGTGGCGTGTTGATACAACACCACGCCGCTCGCGCGCGCGTGTGTGTGTGTGTGTGTATACCTAATCTGTAGGGTGTTCACACGATGCGTAATTAATAACATAACTTTTGGTTAACTTTACTTAGAAGTTTATTAATATTTATGTTATATTAATTTTTATTTTGTCATATATGATCGTCAAATATAACATCCTCAAGTATCGATAGTAATTCACCAGTCACCCTGTATATCATGCACTGGCTATGAAAGGAAGCGAGAAAGAAAATGTGTGCCCGCAATGCATTATTATAGAATAATCTATCTATGCTTTTTTGCAGCGACAGCAATTTCTTCTGAAAAATATCATTCAATATACAAGTGAATCATTCTTAAAACTAGGTTCAGATCACGTTGTTAACATAGATTGTGAGAATCCACAATACGAAATGAATGTCACTAGGGATAAATTGTATCAAATTTTTGAGGAAGAAAACGCTAAAAACGATTCATTATTGTTTTGGGATGAAGAAAGGTGAAATTAAGTGCTAATAGTTTAAAAAACCCTTAAAATTTCAATATGTTAAGATTTAGAGATGAAACCTCTTAGCATTCAATGTATTCTTATGCGTGTGTCGGGTCCATCGTTGTAGTGAGAGGAGCTTCAACAGTGACTGAGACTTGCGACCCGGGTGTAGGTTTAAGGGTTCCCTATCTAACGCGAAAACGCTCACCTCCACTGTCCAAGCTCCTTTCACTACCTAACCAAATTTGAAACGAACCTATTACTATTATATACTATTCAAGAATTAATTAATTATTACTATTTTATAGATTTGTTGCTCTAAAATGAAATATTTTCATTATATTGAATATAAATATGAATATATTTTAATAATTTTCAAGGTCCGGACTATTTTTACGCTCCAATTTTATTTTATCAACGTATAAACCAGAATCTGGTATGGAGAGAGTCGCTTCGTGGTTGGCGAATGAGAAATACAAGCTTTTACCAGGAGTAGAACTGGAACCGTTGAGAAATTTCTTTCGTATCGGCACATCTCCTGTGAGTTTTGTAAAGAGATTTACTTTCCAAGTATTAAATTGCCAAAAAAGTTAAAGGAGCATAGCTTTGTTAATATGTATTTTCTTTGCTACATTACATTATCAGTCTGCAACATAATGTTACTTAAAAATACTTGCAAAAATATTCAGACAGTTTAGGAATGAAAAGTTAAAAAATAATTTTATTAATGAGATTTAAGACTTTCGCGAGTATTCATTTAAATAAAACTAAAATTTTTGGACGTACTATGATATGAAAAATTACATTTTTGTTTCTGCAAAGTAATCGAAACGTTACTAGTATGTTAAAATAATAAAAAACGCGTAGTACATCCGAAGATATTAGTTCTATTTAAATCTATTTCTTTTTGTTAAACTTTTAGGCTATACCGTGGACATTAGTGAAATATTCGGACTCTGGAGAACCAATGGTGACAGATGAAGGTCAGCCTGTATATGAAGGATACTGCATAGAGCTCATCGATAAGATAGCTGAGGTTTGAAAAACATATTTATGCTTCTAATTCGAGAAGAATTGATATTAATTTAGTTTACACAATAAGATCCTTTTAATATGGTCATTATACACAAAAAGATTTCATCTCGAACCAGCTAGCAGTTCCTTAGATCAGTGTTTTTCAATCTTTTTGATTTCGCGGCCCCTTTATGGGTTGAAAAATTTTGTCGATCCCCTTGTGTCATAGAAAGGCAGGGAAATTATTAAATTAAAAAGATTAGTTAAAGTCATTCCCTGCAATGGTGGACATCAAAACAAAGAGAGAAATAAACTTCAATTAAAAACTGATTTGATTATATGTAGTTAACATTTCATAAATAGCACCACGACTTGACATGGTTTTGGAAAATAAATAAGTCCATTTTTCTTATTAAGATTTGGTTTTTATTGTAGTTTAGAACTTTACCTTTTTTTTTTGCATTCGACCCACAGATTGAAAAACACTGCCTTAGATCAATGTGTTGAAGCAAAAAGAATAATATTTTCCAATTCATTATCATTTCCAACTTTAAAGACCATAATAGTACAAAAATTTTGAATTTGCATTGATGGCACAAAAAAATCTCTACCTCATTATACTTAAACTTGTGTATTTTTGTACTAAATAAGATTTTATTTTCGTAAACAGGAATTAGGATTTGACTACGAAATTGTGACACCGAAAGTTGGTACATTTGGACAGAGACTTGCAAACGGGTCGTGGGATGGAGTTATAGGAGATTTAATGACTGGTGTAAGTTAATATCTAAAATTTTGCGTGCACTTATTTAAATGAAAGCAAGTTTTTCTGATACTATGCGTTTTTGAAGTGTCGAAAAAGAGAGAGAGAGAGAGAGAGAACGATAGAGACCGATTGAGAGAGAGTGAGACAGAGTGAACCTAGCATAAAGCAACTAGCTGTAGAGTGAGAGTAGGGAGCGAGCGAGAAAGATTGAGAGAGAGTGAGACAGAGCGAACGTCGTAACGTTTTAGATTTGTATAAATATAGACAAGATTTATAAATGAGTTCTCTAAAGAAGTTTCACTTCTGACATGTGTACTTTGTACGGACGCAATTTTTTTGTATTATTTTGTATCTAAATATTCCTGACTTTTCTGGTCGTTTACAGCAATCACGATTAATATGGGCTGACGAGATCAGTGTAGTATCTGAAAAACTTAGTTTCATTTATGTGGAAATTAATTTGTTGAAATAATCTATAATAATATTATAAAGCTGAAGTCTATAATATAAAAATGAATCGCAAAATGTGTCGGTAAGCGCATAACTCACAAACGCCTGGACCAATTTGGCCAATTCTTTTTTTTAAATGTTCGTTTAAGTCCGTTCGTTTAAGTTCGTTTAAGTCGTTTAAGGATGGTTCTTACGGGGAGAAAAAATCGAATGATTGCCGGGAAAACTCTAAAAACAACCCTTTTCTTTTCACATACAAATGTTTTCTAACTTAAACGTAGAATCAATTTGAGCTTTATTGCTATTAAATAAAGTTCATATTCAATTACAAGCACTCACTGTTATCTAAGAAATGCAGGTGTGTTCCTAACGTCAGAAAGTAAATTTGCACTTTCTTACTGCTATACAAAGTTCAAATTTAATCATATTTATCAAAACAGTGTGCGTGTGTGCGTTGGAGCATAGAATACGTCGTTGGAGGATTTAATGTCGCCAGGTAATCAAACAAAAAACATCGTTTATCACAAAGCACTACAATGAAAATAGAACTGATTTTTTTGTGAATAATTATGATTTACATTACATACTTTTAAAATTACATACTTTTAAATGCGCGATACATAAGCTGAGCTTGACGTTTGTGTGACTATATTAGTCTTTGATAAACTATTGTATCTGTCTTAAAAGTTCAGTTAGTCTTTCAAATTGTTTGCAAACAGTAAATTTGTTTTTTTTTTGAGTGGTTTTGTACGAGTACATATTCATTTTTACTATTTGTGGCCGGAGTTATAATAAAAAAATACCTACATAATTCATTTACCATTTCTTAGTGTAATTTTCACATTGGTTTCTACAGGATAATTTGTATTGTGTTTTTTTCTGAAGTGTTTGTTCAACAAGGTAAGTCAAATTATTATAGTGTTGGAAAGTTTTGATAGACCATTTTGATACTATTTCGAAAGAATAGGAATAGAATAATAGTATTTTTTATTTTCAGTTGAATTTTTGTTTCAAAACATGCCGGCAATTAGACGTAAAAACTTAAATCGCAGAACCCGTGATGCCTCAAGTCAAAGAAATAGAAGAGCAAGTCTAACTGATGAGCAACGTGAAACGCGGAATGAAGTTGAACGGAATCGATGGAACCGAAACCAACAATATAGAAGTGTTGCTTTTAACCCCTATAGAGCTGCATTTGATTATAACAGAAATGGACTACAGTACAATAAATTTTATGCTAACCTTTAAGGTAAGTGTATTGAAAAACATTTACCACTATTGTTGACAGTTTTCAATTGTTATTGTGTATCATTTGAAATGGCTTAAAGTACATTTGTAGCTCTGTGAATTACTTATAGTAGCTAGAAAGAATTGTGTTAAAAAAGTTGATGGGGGAAATGGTAGTGCTCACAAAGTATTTTGAGTGTAACTTGGTGGTTTTAACAATTCACTTTACAATATGTATATGTAATACATTAATGTTACCTTTGCAGATTCAAGGACAAATATATCATTGAACTTATTAGTTATCACCAGTGCCGGTCAGTGACTATAAATTTTTCCAAATTAATTTCATGGGAGATTCAGGAAGACAAGTTGATCAGCGTTGTGCACACAACTATTCTGTGAAAAGACCAGTTGTGGAACAGTTACAATTAATTATTATTCCATCAACACAACCCATTGGTTGCATTATTCAAGACCGCATTAGATCACATGCCATCTGATAATCACAAAATTGTTATCAAACACATAAGTCATTTTAATTCCCAAAGAATCGATGAAGTCTCTATTGTCATTGTGGGTGAAAATATGGATAATCGCAATATTGTTTTACACCGGTGTAACAATCAACTGCAGCGTGTGTCTGAAACACATTGAACACATATAAATATATTTTATCTTATTTTGGAAAGGTGAAGATGGGTATTATTTTAATGAAGATGATAAATCCAGTTACAGGTAAATAAAAATTTTAAGTTTTTAATGTTTATCATTAGCTTTAAGTAATTTATATAATTTTATCACAAAATAATGTTTTTAAGTTCTGAAACTAATGGAAAAGTTAATTCAATGAATTATTATTGATACAGGCTTATGGTCGGAGAAGTTAGGTCAATCACAACTTAATATGTTAGCGTCTCTGTCACCAATATGCTGTCGATATGTAAAAGTGGAAACTGAGTGTTTAATGTTTATCAGGTTGAACCAGGCAAAACTCCATCGAGGATTAAGGAAATTTACTTCATTCAGATAAAAACGCAACAGATATTTCTTGATTATAGGGCGATACTAAGTCAGCTAGTAATTAAATAAATATATTGTTCATTGGTTTAAGTTTGTTTAATTGAAATAAGACCAAAAGGTATATTTTTCGCAATGTAGTAAGTTTAATAATTTCTCAATATTTTATCAGGAAACAGATATAGCAGTCGCAGCTTTGACTATGACAGCTGAGAGGGAGGAGGTTGTTGATTTTGTGGCACCGTATTTTGAACAAACTGGAATACTTATAGGTATGTCTTAAATAATAAGGAATTGGGAAGTGGTTTTCATCGAATCTGATAAGTAAATATGTACCCTTACTTGGTTTCAAGATGCAAAAGCACCGTTAAAGCCTATTTACTCTTTTGATGATCTGTAAATTGTAAGTAGGAGGCATTGTATGCTGGTTCCAAGCCTTCGCTGTGATGATGAGAAAGGAGGAATTGTATTTATACTAGTAGCACAAGAACTTTGTCATTATATGTATATACATATAATATTCATGATCACTTAAATTGACTCAGATTTTTTGGGTTTCATTAAAATTTGTTTGCATTTTAACTGGAAAAGAATAAATAATGTTTTTAAATTAATACGCCAGATTTCTGTTTCAAGATTATCAAAATATTTTGCTAAAGATTCCGTACTAAATTTACTTATGTTTAAACTTTTTGGGTACATTATTATCATTAATATAAATTTTCTAACACACTGAAAGCATTTCTCTAAGATTGTAGTCACGTAAATCAATCTTGTTAGAATATACCTTAGAAGTTGTTAAATAAAAACGTTATTTTCCAGTTATTCGTAAACCTATACGTAAGACGTCACTATTCAAGTTCATGACGGTACTTCGTACGGAAGTGTGGCTCAGCATCGTGGCAGCTCTTCTATTAACCGGTTTCATGATTTGGTTGCTGGAGAAGTATTCTCCTTATTCCGCGAGGAATAATCCCGGAGCTTATCCCTATCCCACTAGGTACGTAAAATATCTGGATTCAAATTACATTTAATTTTAAACTGGTTTTATACCGCCATTTTTTGAATGTAACGGTTTTTTTATGTTGCTAGTATAGAGAATGATATCATAATCAGTGGTGGCTCAGTGGTTAAAGAGCCCGCCTCTCGTCGCCGAAGGCGCGGGTTCGATCCTGGCCCGAGCAAGTACCAATATGATTTTTCCGAATCATATGTACTTTCTAAGAGTATTTAGACATCACTGATTAATGTTGATTCCCTAAAAAGAGGGTTGATGTCAGGCAGGCGGCCGGTCGTAAAAACAAATAGCCAAAAATATTTACAACATGTAAGGCAGACCCTGGCTGTAGCTGGGAAATTGCCAGGTAGAAGAAGAAGAAGTATAGAGAATGAATTATTTATTTATTTTATTAAAGAGCCAACATAATGTACAAAGTACACTACAATTAAAGGCTACAGCATGCATTCACAAAATATATGTATAACAAAGCAAATTATGATTACAAATTTATTTCATTCAGAGAATTCACACTGAAGGAGAGTTTTTGGTTTGCACTGACGTCTTTCACGCCACAAGGAGGCGGAGAAGCCCCAAAGGCGTTATCAGGACGCACGCTAGTGGCTGCATATTGGCTATTCGTAGTACTCATGCTTGCTACTTTCACTGCTAATTTGGCAGCTTTTCTTACTGTTGAGAGGATGCAGGTATGGCCAACCTTTTTTACGCACTATTATTTTATCTTGATGAGGTATTTAAATGTATTTTAATATCAAATTGGAATGTTAAACCATAATAAAGATTACTTAAAGTTAGTGTCAAGTATGTGTTAAAAAAACAAGATTACAATATATTCCAAGATTTTTAAGCTATATTATGTCAGTGGTGGCCTAGTGGTTAAAAGCCCCCCGTCTCGTTGCCGAGGGCGCAGGTTCGATCCTGGCAAGTACCAATGTGATTTTCCGAGTCATATGTACTTTATAAGAGTATTAGACACCACTGACAGATGAAGGAAAACATCGTGAGGAAACATGGACTTATATTAGCAAATTATAAGTTTGAAATCACCAACCCGTCTCGAGCGAGCGTGGTGATTAATGCTCAAACCTTTTGCATGTGAGAAAGAGGCCTTACAGCAGTGGGCTCTGATAGGCTAAAAATAAATATTTAGGAAGGAAGCTAACTGAATGGTTTTTGTGGATTTTATTATTATGGATTGTTCTTATTGATATATTTAATACTCTAGACACCAGTCTCTTCGCTGGAGCAGCTTGCGAGACAGTCCCGCATCAACTACACAGTGGTAGAGGGATCTACGGTTCATCAGTACTTCATAAACATGAAGTTTGCAGAAGACACGCTTTATAGGTGAGATATTCATCAACTCAAAGTATCAAGATATAAATGAAACTAATATTTTCGGATTCACTACGCGTTTTTTTTTTTATATTTTTGATTATAAACTACATACTCCCGATGTTTCGATTACTTTACAACCGTGATCATTAAGACGAGATGTGAATGAGAGACGGTTGCTGTAAAGTAACGTAAACGTCGGGAGTATGTAGTTTATAATCAAAGATAAAAAATCTCATAGTAAATCCGAAAATATTAGTTTCATTTAAACGATTACTCGCGAAAATCTTAGATCTCATTAGTATCAAGATATGTATATTGTAATTAATGTATTACTCTTTTAATGCGAAACACAAGATGGTACTACTCTCTAAAAGATATTCGATGTGATGTAGTTTTTGTATGGTTTGTTTCATTGTTATTAGAGAATATGTATACATGTATATTACTTTTCTGATTTTATTTTGTAGTCATTAAATGTCATTCGTAAGCATTGACCTAAATATATATACAAGTAGAATATAGACACATACGTCATGAAGTCACAATACTTTCACATCAATTTTTTTAAGGTTTTTGTATATAAAGTTCTGACTTGTGAAACAGGTCTATAAAACAGAGTTAAAGTTTGCTAGTATCGTAGAAGATTTTAACTAAAATTTTATATTTTTCAGAGTGTGGAAGGAAATAACTTTGAACGCAACATCCGACCAGTCTCAGTACAGAGTATGGGATTATCCAATACGAGAGCAGTATGGACATATTTTGCTGGCTATAAATGCATCAGGTAAAAAACAATGAAACTTACAGTTTGGAGTTTAAACTGTGCTTTTTTAGTTACTCTGTTAAAGCTCTAGGACTAATAGCTATACTCGTCACACAAAATTCTCGTGTCCGTAGAAAAATATAAGGGCATTATGTAAAAATACTAAAATTATAGTAAGTTTTTTGAATAACTACTAAATATACAAATAGTCGTTGCATATGTATACAAGCCATTTACAAGAGCATGGCTACAAATTATTGAAATATAATAATAATAAAGCTTTATTTATTATATATCTATATTGAAATAAAGTCTTCTAAATAAATCCTACCTGCTAATATTGATGCCTTTCAAACTTAAAGCAATCCATAAAGTCTAGACTATAAATGTTTCCAATTTCTTATTACTACAGACTATAGAATACAGTTACAGTCTTAACAAGGCTTCATAGTCCGTTAATTTGTATTGTCGAGAATTTAATGCAATTATTATTATAATAATTAATTCTTTTAGGTCCTGTGCCTGACGCTAAAACGGGATTTCAGCAAGTCGACGAACATACTGAGGCAGATTTTGCGTTCATACATGATTCAGCTGAAATAAGGTTAGGTTTAAAGAAGTTTATTTCCAAAAAGAACAAATTTCGTTTACAAAAGAAGTTTTAAAAATTATAACTACAATTAAGATTACAAATAATAAACAGTAGTGATATTAAACAAGATCAGTGAAATCATCTAATATATAGGTTCTTAATCGTTTTTTAAACATATTTAGAGATTTTGAATTGACAACACTTAGAGGCAAAGAGTTGTCGGATTTATCTTGAGATTAAAGTTGTAGTATTTTTTTTACTATATTTTTATGGCCATATGATAGACAGGTTTAATACAAATTCTTTAAGAGAATTTTCATAGCTAAACATGAAATTCTAAAATAAGACATATTATTTCTTTGTATATAGTTAATAAATACTATACCATAATAAAATTCTCTATTTCCTGATCAGAGCATAACCTAAGCCATATATTGAAATTCACGATTGACTTAATATATTGCAGATACGAATTAGATAGACATATTGTTTCGTAGTATATAGTTAAGAAGTAGGTACTATGAAATAATAAAATTCTCTATTTCCTGATCGAAGCATAACTTAAGCATATATAGCTAAACCAAATATGAACTTAGACGATTGACTTAATATAATTACAGATATGAAATAACTCGCAACTGCAACCTAACGGAAGTGGGTGAGGTGTTCGCTGAGCAACCTTACGCTCTGGCAGTGGCATCAGGATCTAGGTTACAAGAAGAATTATCCAGAGCTTTATTAGACCTGCAGAAAGAACGTTTCCTTGAACAGCTGTCAGCTAAGTAAGATCGTTTTACAGCCAGAAAAATATTCGTTAACAAAATTATAAGATTATTTTCTATGTCCATCAACAAAAATCTAGGTTGGAGTATATTTTTGTATCGCCATGGAATATTTAGCTATTTTTAAGTTAAGATATATCTAAATTTAATTATAATTAGGTTCATTTGAAGATTAGAACTGTTGTAAGTGTTAATTTTGCATTTTGTCTATTTGCTAAATAGAATTTCTCAAATCACGACATCAAACTACTTACATCGTTTCTTTCTGGCAATACTTACAGCTGTTCTTTATCTTTTAACAGATATTTCTAGCAATCTTTACAGATTTTTCCTGATTTATAATTTTTAACAGGTATTGGAACGAATCTGCGAGGCAGGCTTGTCCAGATTCTGACGAGTCAGAAGGCATAACTTTGGAGAGTTTAGGCAAGTAAATTGGTTATTTTATTGATTTATGTGATATTTATATATTAATAATAATTCAAATTCTAGGTGGAGTTTTCATAGCGACCTTATTCGGCTTGGGTTTGGCAATGATAACGCTAGCTTGGGAAGTATTTTATTACAAGCGCAAAGAGAAAAACAAAACCAAGGACACAACGGTAAAGGCTATAGAGGCTTTTCAGCCAAAAAAGACGAAATTACCAAAGAAAATGGTGGAAGGAGTGGCTAAGTTGAGGAAACGAAAGAAGTCTATTATTAAGCCCGTTACAATTGGTGATACTTTTAAGCCGGCCGATGGCGGAGTGTCCTTCATCAATGTGTATCCAAGATATAATCCATAGATTCAAGAAATATTACAATTTTCATAGCAATTTTTACGCATTTATCAAAATCATGGACCCAAAGTCATGATTCATCGCAATTAGTTATATAGAAATAGATTTTGTTGGCCTATTTTTGTTTCTAAGTCTTGTATTTTGCACAATACTTATAACACACGTTTAGATATAATTCCTTATAGAAGTGAGATTTCTAAGACCAACTTAGTGGATAGTACTGATAGGTAATAAAAATTATATATGCTTTCAGTATTTTTATTTAATTTTAATGTTGTCTTACTATCATAGAATATTTGCAAATATAATAATTAGTACAGATTTTGTGGTTTCATTTAAATTGCGAAAAGCTTACGTTTTTGGTAAAAAGATTACAATTAAATTAGCCACATTTTAAAAGTCGAATATTTTTCACTATTTCATAAAAGAAATATATTTCCAACTGCCCAATTCGAACCAAGAGACGAAACCTCTCATTATTCAATGTATTCATTATGCGTGTGTCTGGTCCATCGTTGTAAAGAGGAGCTTCAACAGTGACTGGGACTTGCGACCCAGGTGTAGGTTTGTCTTATCAAATTGAAAATCACGAGAATAAAATAACAAAAAACAGTTATAACCATTTATTCTACCAAAAAACCCTTGCTGTAGGTTTTTCTACCAATAGGCCCTTATTCTCGAAGACTGTCTTCCCAAAGTTAATTCTGAAGTGGTCCAAGTTAATGTACTCCCCTTCCGCTATATCTAAGAGTAATTTCTTAACATGATCTTTGGTGCTTTCAACGAAACAAGCTGCAAGTTTCATCTCAAACTCCCCGTTCCTCAATCCGATGCAATATGACCTGAAAATGCGAAAAAAATACAAAAAGTACATAATATCTTCTTCTTCTACCTGGCAATTTCCTATCTTTAGCCAGGGTCTGCCTTACATGTTGTGAATAGTTTTGGCTAATGTTTTTTACGACCGGCCGCCTGCCTGACATCAACCCTCTTTGGGACTGCATTAATCAGTGATGTCTAAATACTCTTAGAAAGTACAAATGACTCGGAAAAATCACATTGGTGCTTGCCAGGATCGAACCTGCGCCTTCGTGCATGAGAGGCGGGCCTTTTAACCACTAGGCCACCATTGACTTAGTAGATGATAAAAATATATTAATAAAATAGTAAAGAGCTACAAAATCTTCAATTCCATACATGGCAATATGAAAAATATAATTACTGTAATGAAGCTAGTATAAATCTATTATTCTATATATATACATATACTAGAAGACCCGGCGAACTTCGTATCGCCCTATAATCAAGAAATATCTGTTACGTTTTTTTATTTATATTTTTGGAGTTTACCTATTAAATTCATAAATTTCCGTGTTTTGAAGTGCGACAGAATGATTCACATATAAGTTAGTTGTCAAATCTAATGTAAAAAAAAAACGTTTGTATCAACAACTACAAATAAATTAAAAATTAATTAAAAAAACATTGTCCAGCGGACAAAATTGTGAATCTAAACAATTCTCAGATCCCCTTGAACACACACAAAAAATTTCATCAAAATCGGTCCAGTCGTCTGAGAGGAGTTCAGTGACATACACACTCACAGAAGAATTATAAGATAAAGATGTATATTTCTTACCTAGAAGCCCTCGCCAGTACTGCAGCCATAACGTATATTTCGGTAGACGCTTCAGCCAATCGGTTCAACTCACTGTGAATAAATAATAATAATAATAAATAAATAAACTTTATTGACAAAACACAATGCTTACACAATAATAGATCAACATATAATGATACAATTAATCTTCTTAAACTTAAACTATTACAGTGCCTTCTATTAGTTGAGGTGCTTTATAGTTTCAGCAAATTTTAAAATTTCGATTATCTTTGGACCCCACACTAGGAGACCTGTATCGTGGGTCCCGAAATATGTAACAATACGACAACGAGACAAGATAAATTATATAAACATTGCATTATAGGGAAAGAAAGAGAAATTATGTGTATTCCTCATATACTTTTTTGTATAAAACAATAAGATTATTTTCATGCCAAAATAAATTGGACCATTGAAAAATTATTTACTATTTCGATCAATAGTACTTTCTTTAGTTGCTAATTAAACTATTGATTCAAAAGAATATGTCCAAGAATATATCACAATTATAAATTTAATAAAATATTTGCGAAATACTATAATATTTTTACTCACGTGCTAGCCATAACCACGTCCGTTCCGTATCTGCTCATTAATGATTCCACTATGTACCTGTTGAGGAATAGATATTTTAATGGGGTTTAAAGAACGAATAAGAAAGAGATATTTGCGATAAATAAACATACTAAAAGAATATCACAATAATCACCGTTCCCAAAATATGAAATCTTCTTTGTAAGGTTCAAATAATGCACACACATACTCAAACACACACACGCAAACCATATCCTAACACTGTATAACTCTTTACCTCTAAGTGTTGTAAATTCAAAATCTCTAAATATATTTAAAAAACGATTAAGAACCCATATATTAGATGATTTCATTGATCTTGTTTAATATCACTACTGTTTATTATTCGTAATCTTAATTGTAGTTATAGTTTTTAAAATATCCTTTGTAAGCGAACTCTGTTCTTTTTGGAAATAAACTTCTTTAAAGCTAACACTATCATTACCTCATCCTGAGAACGCAGTATTCCAACTGTTCTGAAGGTTTCTTCAATGTTGGATGGAGGTCTTCCGATAAGTATAGGTCCAGTTTAGGTTCGTCCCTCTCCTGGAAGAAATTATATCAAGAATATAGGTCTTTGTTAATTGGCGCCAGTGTATGAGCTATTGGGTCACTACGGCATTATACTTATATAAATAACTAGCTTTCCCGCCGCAGCTTCGCCCGCGTGGAGTTCGGTTGTATCGCGTTTCCAAGAGAACCTTTCAAAAGTCTGGGATAAAAACTATCCTATGTTCTTTCTCAAGGTCAACTCTATCTCTGTACCATTAATTAAAATAAGTTCAGTAGTTTAGGCGTGAAAGCGTATTTTTCATTATTTACCCCCGCAACCCCCCTTGTGGGTGGAATTTCGTAAAATCTGTTCCTAGCTGACCTCTACTCGGCGAAAGTAATAATCCTACCAAATTTCAAGTCGCTACGCCTAATGGTTCCAGAGATATCGTGATGAGTCAATATATTGGTGGAAATCTCTTTTATACATATAGATTTTCGTGTCGCGGTGTTAGACAAAGAACTCCTCCGAAACCGCTAGACCGATTTTGATGAAATTTTGTGAGCATATTGAGTAGTTCTGAGAATCGGCCAACATCTATTTTCCATACTCCTAAGTCATAAGGGTTATTCACCCTTGATTTTTTTTTCGGACGCAATTTTTTGTTTTTATTTTTTTATAACAACCCAAAATTTTAACTTTTTTATCACCAAACAGTATTTTTTATATGGCAAAATAAAGTTTGCCGGGTCAGTTAGTATATATGTATATATATAGTATGATCTTACCTGATTTCTGTCAGCGATAATCTTCTTCAAGATAAACGATGGATTGAATAGCGGATTCCGTAGTTTTTTGACGTCGTTCGCCATATTCCTACCGGCGTGATGGATACCGTTGATTGCTGAAAGAAATTCGGAGGCAAATTATTATAATATAGTAAATAGATTCATTGCATAAGATTTATTAAGTCAGTGGTGGCCTAGTGGTTAAAGGGCCGGTTCGATCCTGGTAAGTACCAATGTGATTTTACCGAGTCATATGTAAAGTACATAATAAGACTATTTAGACATCACTGACTAATGAAGGAAAACATCGTGAGGAAACCTGGACTTATCATATTATAAGTTTACAATCGCCAACCCGTCTTGAGCGAGCGTGGTGATTAATGCTCAAACCTTCTCCATGTGAGAAGAGGTCTTTGGTCAGCAGTGGGCTCTGATAGGATGATGACGACGCATAGGATTAGATCCTTTTATATGCAAAAATGTACTTTTCTTACAGACTGCACTAGATCACTTATGAATTAAATTTAACTCATTGCCAAAATTTGTTTAAGCTTTCTAAATATAATAAGTAGTAGTTTTCGCTAGACTTCTTTTCATTATTCTCGGTACATATATTTTTCTTGAGGTAGGTACTATATCCAAAATAAGCCTTTATTAATAAAAAGCAACAATTTTAATATTAATAATACAAGGTTTAGGGACTGTAGATTTTTTCACAACAATATTTCCATGATTTAAATGAAACTAATATTTTCCTGATACACTACGCGTGCCTTTTTGTAAAAAACTACGTACTCCCGACGTTTCGGTTACTTTACAACCGTGATCATTACGACGAGATGTGTACATCCGAAAAATATTAGTTTCATTTAAATGAATAAAATTCTTAGTCTTAGATCTCATAATGTTTCTATGACCCAAGTCTATTACATTTTGCACCACCTACCTATAAACATATTGACGTTTTCCAAGGTTTCTCCGCGGAAGGACAGCTTCCTCATCTCATCAAGCAGATGCAAACATTCCCGTGGTCTTTCAACACCCTGGATCGCTAACAGCTTCAGGATTTGCGACTGCGCGTGATTAGCGATGAAATTCCTTGAATTTTTAATATTATATAAATTTTTTTGGTAACAGAATATTTTTTTGCTCTTTGAAAGGACTTTATGTTTATTTTTATTTTATTTTGATGTGTTTTAAAGATTATTGCTCGATTTTATGAAATTTTCGTTTTTGGGAAAAAGTATACCGTATTATTCATTACAAGACGTAATCGTAAAAGTTCTATTGCTTTTACAATAATAAAAACAGACAAACTTAGGTGTTTAGAATATTAGTGTCCTAAAGAGGAGTTATTATTAATTAAAACAAATGGGTAAATAGAAAAATAACAAAAATTTGGGAACACCTCTTATTCTTTTACGGGGAGAGTGGTATATCCCACGTCATTTTTTGTGAGTCCCCAACCGTTACATATATATTATAACAGCTACCAAAGAGAGAAATCATTAAAATCTAATCGTCTGACTTTTGAAAGACTTAGAAACAGAAGGTAGTAGAACAAAATGTATGGACTTATATGGTAACTCGTTTAAAAAACTTCATAAGAATCTAAAATCACCACTTGCCTGCACATCGCCACTTCCAATTCAGCATCTGGGTCCATATACCCATCTAGGAGACCAGCTGTGAAATATTCCGCGCTCTCCGAAGCGTATATATCCATCAACGTATTCCCAATCTGAGAACGTATTGTTGGCATCTGGGATAGAGGCTTACCTGTAGTCATCATTCAGAAATTATGAGAAAAAACAGTGAAAATTCACAAAATATTGTCTATAGATAGAAATTACCATAAAGATGCCTATATATTGGAAATTTTTTGTTGATATGGAACTTATAACTCTGAAGTGACGAAGTAGTATAGGTTTTAGATAAGCTGTAACTTGTCTATATTTGGATTGAAGTCTAAATGACAAAGTAGAACAAATAATTCTAATTAAGAAACTATGACCAGAAATGGAATGACGTGATATTTCTCAACAATCTTTATTCCATAATTACTCCAATATGGAAATGTGGAGAACATTAATTTTGATATCTTTTAAAGTCCAATTATATGCAATAGCTTCAATAAACATCATCAATACTATTTAAATGCAACTAATATTTTTTGGATTATACTACGCGACTTTATTTTTGTAAACTACATACTCGCGATGTTTCGGTTACTTTACAGCAACCGTGATCATTAAGACGAGATGTGTATATCCAAAAAATATTAGTTTCATTTAAATGAATGAAACTCGCGAAAATCTTACATCTAATTATTCGTAATACTAAACTATATACTAGTTCCTACAAAACTTCTAGTGCAATAGGCCCAATGATGGTAAAAATGCTCTAATTTGGCTGTTTTATGAAAATACTGCTATCTATTCCTAGATGATATGCTAGTCTACTTGTCACTTACCACTGATGAACCTTGTTCGAACATATTCAACGCTGGCCTTCATGCTCTTCATCAAATTGTTCCGACAGAGATTTGCTGTGTACAGTCTTGTCATACCGAGTGTCTTTGAGAGCTGTTCTTCTGTAGCTTCAGTTAATGGGGTACCTGGAAAAGGAAGAAATATAAGAACATGCCTTGAAATATCAAAGAAACATTTAGATGAAACCTCTCATCATTCCATGTATTCATATGCGTGTGTCGGGTCCATCGTTGTAGTGAGAGGAGCTTCAACAGTGACTGGGACTTGTGACCCAGGTGTAGGTTTAAGGGACTCCTATATAACGTTAAACGATCACCTCCACTGTCCAAGCTCCTCTTTCTACCTCACCAAATTTGAAACAAACATACTAAGGCTGACTTCGAAGTATGTTCCAAGAATAAATTGATATTAGTTCTGGACATTATATTGTTAGTAATAACCAGGTTTTCCAATTAATTATATGTTAATTATTGTTTTACAATAACAATATATATTTTGATTATATTAAGTATAGGACATTTGTATTAATTTAATATTTATATATATACATATGTAATACTAGCTTTCCGCCCACAGTTTCGCCCGCGTGAAGTTCGGTTATATCGCGTTTCCAAGAGAACCTTTCAAAACTCTAGGATAAAGACTATCCTATGTTCTTTCTCAAAGTCAACTCCGTCTGTACCAAATTTCATTAAAATCAGTTCAGTGGTTTAGGCGTGAAAGCGTAACAGACAGATAAACAGACAGAGTTTCTTTGGCATTTATAATATTAGTAGGGATATGGTTTATTGATTCATGAAGACATACCAGGTGTATCCTTAAATGAAACATAGTTTTCCTTGTAATTCACTCCGGAGGCATTGGGATGGACGAGAAAAGCTTTCAACTTCATGCCTTCGGTTAGACAAAGTACGATTACATATTTGGTTTGTGTCTTGCATATTTTCTCACCATTTATCACCCATACACCTGAAAAATAAATTAATAATCTTAATTAATTTTAATATCAGGAAATATTAATGTATATAGAACTCATGTTAGTAATATATGTATAGCTGATTGGGCAAACTCTATTCTGCCCTATGGGCTACAAATAACCAGATATTGGAATTTATTAAGTATTTATTTTCTTTTTCGATCAAACAGAATTAAATATTCTATGTCCGTCTCCTTGTTCTAATCTATCTCTCCACCAATCTTCATCCATATCCGTACAGTTGTTCTTGAGTTATAAATAGTGTAACAAACATGACTTTCTTTTATATATATAAGATGAGTGTCAATTGACTAGAAGGACATATTTTAATTAAGATCACTGCTTTAAAATTCACATACAAATCTGTGCAGCCATTCCAAAGATACTAAAAAAGGTTTAAAATCAGCTAATTTTGTTTTTATATAAATAAGGTAAAGGATTTTGGAGTAAAAATGTTATTTTGGAAAATTTAAATATACTTTAATTTTATTTATATCTATAGAAGAATAACTTTGTGTCTGTATTTATAGAAATCTTAATAATATTTAACTTAAAAGGAGCAAAATTTTAGGTTCGAGCAAAGCGAAAATATGTAGATAAGATGTGTATATATTATATTGTATGGGTTAAGAATTCATACTTATGAGGTACATTCATAAATGCACATCATATCTTAAAGTTTCAAAAGTACAATTATTAGAAGACATATCATGAATATATTAAATTTTCATACTATATTATTTTTGTATATTGTTAGAATTACATATATCTAATGTAAGAACATATAAAAGATAAGGTGATTGTAATTTTGTTATATCTAATACATCCAACTTGGATGAGAAATCTTAAATGAATATGAAAGTAGGTAACTTACCATGCTGATTTAAGACAGCACTAGTCCGGAAATCGGCTTGCAGCACTCTATCCGATATTTTCTCTTGCACACACACACCTATAGTTGAATCACCAGTCATCAAATCACTAATGATTTTTTGATAGTTATCAGATGTTAAGCCTATCTTTAGTAGTTTCAAACAGACCCAGTGATCGCTTAATTCCTGACTGAGTTGTAAGTCGTTACTTATAACGTCTAAATAACGTAGACTTTCAGTATAATTCATGGCTAACCCGCCATCTGTGAGAGCTACGGGCGCTCCAAACATGCCAGTTCTACTCAGAACATCTCTTCTCTCATCTTCAGTGGAATTCGGATCTTCAAAAGTCTTTTGTATTATACTAACTCTGTTATCCAAAGCTGTAGATTCCTCTTTGTTTAAAATTTCAGGATATGCAAGCAAATCGCGATTGAAAATCGAGAGAAAAACGTTTTTCATGAACGGTGGAATAGCTGCTTTTCGTCGCTCCACCCTCTCCAGTACTTTGAGATCTTCAAAATCAAACTTCTCTTCTTGTATCTGAGTTTCGGCTTTCGTAGATTCATAGTTAACACTAGAAATTCTATACTTTCTGTGAACATTCCGCTGAACGTGAGAATAGCGTATTGAACATATTTTACGAGCGATATTCATATTTATTATTTATATTCAAGAATTAATAATGGTCGACTATCTTATATTTATATATTTAAGATATACATTTACATAACAATATACAATTACTTTAATGTTTTAGGTTAGTCTGACATATGAGTTTGACAGCCCACTGACTGATATCAAAAAGTTATATAATTTTGTAAATTTTACATATTTTAGGTATAATTATGAATTTACTTAGTTAAAAATTTCTAATTAATTATTATAATTTTTTACGAATTAAAGTAGTTAATACTCCCCAAAAATATTCTGAAATAATATAATGTTACTTAGAAATCTACTATTGTTGTACTACAGCTTTACCTCTCTTACGAATAAAGTATTTTTTGTTTTTAAATTAGAAGCTTTTAATTCTGTTTCTATACACAAACACTGCTCATATATATTTTTGGGCATATAATTCTTTACTTAATATAGTTTCACTTATCGTTAATTATATATGTTCAATGAACTAAAATCACTGTATTTTAATGACTACGTTCTTGTTGATCAAAATATATGTATAAATAATTGAAATTACTAGCGACTACTTATTTGTAATATAATATTGCAACGATTTTAAGAATTTATCTGAAAACCGACATATTCCGGAAAATTCTTTCGGTACATCCCTTGCCACCCTCAATCCGGATTGAGGGGTGGAAACCCTCCTTCCATATTACAGTAATATGAAACGAAAATTGATATGAATAAGGTTTTATTTGGAATAAAACTCGTAATGTATGTTATTTTACATAATAATAGCTGAGAGTCCATGAAATAATCAGTATGAGAGATTCAGCCAGAGGAGAGTGTCGTGGTTATTCTAGGTCAGAAATGTTTGTGCTTCTAAAATAATGGGAAGATGATTTTTTTGTGTGAAATGATGTGTGTTTCTGTGCGCCAGTGTTATGATAATACGGATTGAAAATTTGGAAAATCGGTAAGTCACGTGACTGTATGTATATATTTTTTTATTGGATTTGTTAATTGGATGTTGCTCGATTAGTGATTTCCTTAACGTTAAACGTTTTTTCGTTGAAAACGTTCATCCTATTGTTATATTTAGGAAATGTTTTCGATAATTTGATATTAATTTGTCAGTATGAATAAAAAAGTACGAATAATTAAAACCTGTATTGCAATTATTAAAAAAAAGATTTTTTTGTATAGAAGATTTATCTCGTGCCTTTTTTTTTACAGTAACGCTAAAAATTATAACTTCTGAGTATTTACGTTTTTTTCTGTAATGGATTCGTCCGTCTTTGTCGTAATGATATTTTAATGGTCTTCGTCAGTTTCATAAAAAGTTAAATGACACAATTGAAATATTTTCTCTTTCGTCAACTAAAAAAAGTTTTCTATGAAAAGTACTTTTATATATTTTTATTAGGAAATAATTGCAATGGATGATTGGTTTTCAATTATAGTGAATTTTAAATCGAATTTAATTAAAATGAGAGAACCAATAGAGAAATTTTTGTAATGTAGAAGTTTAGTTTGGAATGCAATTGTTGAATAGTTTTACATACAGACATACACATATATGTGGGTGTATATAACGGGTGTCCCAACTAGAACGCAATTTTTAACTTTGGCGCCATTTTAAGCGTGATTGTTTGACATTTGAACAATTGTTATTATTTGCTTGTAGAAGGTACAAGGTTTGTAAAAATGGAGCGCTACACGAATGAACAACGCATTCTCATTGTAAAATTGTTTTACCAAAATGGTGAAAGTTTTGCAGCTACAGTTCGCAAAATTACGATCATTTTGGAGTCACTCAAAAAGAGTCAACTGTAAAGAGATTAATGAATAAATTTGCCGAAACTTGGTCTGTTAGTGATGTAAAGACAACAACAACGCAAACGGTCAATGGTGTTCGATATCGTGAAATGATTACCAGTTTTTTCTTGCCTAGAATCGAAGAAATGGATGTGGACGGCATGTGGTTTCAACAAGTCGGCGCCACATGTCATACAGCCAGAGAAACAATTCAATTGCTGCATCAGTCATTTCCTGGTCATGTTATTTCTCGTTTTGGAGACCAGAATAGGCCGCCTAGATCGTGCGATTTAACACCTTTAGATTATTTTCTTTGGGGTTTTTTGAAGTCGAGGGTTCACGCGAATAAGCCGACGACGACTCAAGCCTTAAAAGAGGAAATTGGACGCTGTTTTAATGAAATACCGCAGCATTTATGCAAAACAGTCCTAAAAAATTTCATTCAAAGTTCGCGCGTGTGCCTGCAAAGCCGCGGCGGCCATCTGCACGATATCTTGTTCCATACATAACCTCATTCTATCTACTTTACGATATAATAAAGTTTCACGATATATTTTTTAAATATCTGTGTTTTATTTAAAATTTAAAAATTGCGTTCTAGTTGGGACACCCTTTATATAAAAGAAAGTCGTGTTAGTTACATTATTAAAAAACTCAAAAACGGCTGAACGGGTTTGTCTGAAAATTTGTTGAGAGATAGCGTAGAACGAAAAGGATATAGGATATTTTTTATCCGTTTAAAAAAGAAGAAAAAATAAATTAATCACACCAAAATCTTTTTATCTACTGTCTTTAAGGAGGAATAGAGTTCGCCCGGTCAGGTATACATTTCTAATTACGAAACTGAAGCAGACGAAGTTTGATCTAAAACTAGTTTTCTATAAATATAGGTAAAAAGAGATGAGTGGAGTTTGAGAAATATCGTCGTATGAACTATGATGTCAACCAGACGACGCCATTCATAGGCATGTCTATTGCATATACAATTCCACGTCCCATACTAAATTTTCACTCACATTCTCAATAAAATGCTATATCATTCCCAAAATATTTCTTTAGACACCACTGACTGATGAAGGAAAACATCGTGAGGAAACCTGCACTTATAATTTATATATAAGTTTGAAATCACCAACCAAACCGTCTTGATCAAGCGTGGCATGTAAGGCAGACCCTGGCTGATGCCGGTAAATTGCCAGGAAGAAGAAGAATGGTGATATACAACCTCTTTAATATATGTCATCTTAAAAGCTCCAATTTCTGAATAAAAATGTTCGCTGCAAAATAGTGAATAATTTTTATAATTCATTTAAATTACTTAGACTTCGCATTTGTAGAATCACATCTCGTCTTAATGATCACGGTTGCTGAAAAGTAGCCGAAATATCGTACGTAGTTTTTACAAAAACAAATAATATTAGTTTCATTTAAATGAATACTTATTTTCAAACCTGGCAAGTACCAATGTGATTTTTCCGAGTCATATATACTTTCTAAGAGTATTTAGACATCACTGACAGATGAAGGAAAACATCGTGAGGAAACCTGGAGATATAGTTTCACAATTATAAGTTTGAAATCACCAACCCGTCTTGAGCAAGCGTGGTGATTAATGCTCAAACCTTCTCCATGTGAGAAGAGGCTCAGCAGTGGGCTCTGATAGGATGATGATGATGAAATGAATACTTCCGAAAATCTTAGATTTATTTGTATTTGTAGTTTGGTAAACTTCAAGATATTATTAGCAAATATCAAACAAGTTATAATGCTTTGTAAAATAATATTCTCTCTCCTATATAAATGAAACTAATATTTTTCGGATATACTACGCGGTTTATTTTTGTTAAAAACTACATACTTCCGACTCTCTCCTATTTTTTGTATGGTTTTAATCGTTAAGGAGTGGACGTGTTAATTTTCTTGCGGTAGCATAATTAATTATCGATTTTAATTGTCGTCGTCATCAGTCTATCAGAGCCCACTGCTGAGCAAAGGTCTCTTTCTCACACAGAGAAGGTTTGAGCATTAATCACCACGCTTGCTCAAGACGGGTTGGTGATTTCAAACTTATAATTGTGAAATTTTAAGGCCAGGATTCCTCACGATGTTTTCTTGCACCGTCTGTCAGTGGTGTCTAAATACTCTTTTAATTGTAGTAATTTCAATAAATTTTATGTTGTCGTATTTGGTTAGTGATTACAACTTATAAAATTATTTATCTATCAGTTCTTAAAAAATTTGACTATATTCATAACTTTTAATCATAGACAATTTACTTTACAGATTATTCCTTATGCTTTTTTTATAAACCATAGAGAAATTCATTTAATTGTCTATGGTTAAAATAATCAGTCGTAAAAATTAATACTTTCCATTCATTGACAAATTCATGTTTCATTATGAGGTATATTCGTAAATATTTTTATAAATTTTCAAAGAAAAGTACAATATACTTATCGGCGCTACCAGCTTTAATAACGGATGCGACTTGAAAATAATTTGAGGCTGTCATCAATTCTTATTAAACCTCATTAGTATTTATGATTATTGTTAAAAGTAAAACGAAATCAAAGGAGAATAGAACAATGTTTGAATCGTGTGAAAAATATGACGTCTGGATGCACGACGGCGGACTCCAGATTGGAGAATTCAGAATTGATAATTCAGAGTTCAGTGAGCGTGTATCATAGAAGCATGTTATTATGAAGAATCTTTGAGAAATACAAGAGCATTAAGATCAATTGCAGTTTCATTTTAAAATATCATCGAATGCTCTAGAAGAAGTGACATTTGTAACGTCAGCGAGGCTGGCGTCCCTCTCTTTAAAATCAACGAAATATGTAATAAATCCGATATATATAAAAAAACTATTATTTGATTCAAAACAAACAATAAAATAGTAACTTACAATAAAAATATCAAAAATATCTTACTTAAAACATTTTCTTGTATATTAAATTATATTAATATATATGTTCTACGGGATTATTTTCCGTCGCTAATTACTTAGAGAGATGCTTGCTCTACAGCTAATAATATAATAGAAAACAAAGCAAAGACGAGCTGTATATTAAATAAAAAAGCTGTAGTTAATTAAGCATGTAACTCAAGCACTTATTAATTATAACTCTTAATTCTAGTTAATTAAAGTACAAGACACGTTTTGTTCAGCTCTTAATTATCTCTATTTGTTTAAATAAAACTAATATTTT